CGGCTGTTTGTTTGTTCATGGATCAGTTGTTTTTTAGTTCAGTGGCCAGACCGATTCCTGAACAACATTATGTCCCCTTGGAAAAGCTGTGACCTGTATGACTTGTCTCTTTAGTTGTCACAAAGTCACTCAAGTCATATTTTTATAGTTGTGGGGTTTTTTTTGCCATGGAGTAGCAACATCTTGAAGGACACATCATCATTATCATCATCATCATCATCAGCTTCAGCTGTCTGTATCAAATCCAGCGGTCCTGAGAGCCACCCACTAGGTGAGACATGGAGGGCTGAGGAATGTGTGAACTGGTGTCTGGGGGTGGGTGTTGGCTGCAGCCTGGAGAACTCTGGGATCCAGGCATTCCTCCACAAGCCTGCGGTTGTCTGGAAGTATCCCCCCCTCCCCTCTGATAGACACAGAGTCTGGAGGACTTTCACCCCACACTGAGGCTTTTCATAAACACTCACGTGTATGGGATTTACATGAGCTGGTCAAGTTGCAGCTACAATGACCTGCCTACTGTAAGGTCTGATCGCTTTACTTCAGAGTAGTAGTTTTGATAATACAGGAGTTCAGTAATAACAAGAAACATTCATTCTGTGTATACAGGAAGGCACAGAGTTGGTTGGTGTAAAGTCTGTACAGAGAGGAAGGTTTATGTCTGTGTTCACAGATGATTATCAAATACTACAGTGTGTACCTACACTGCCTCTCAGGAGGTGTTTGGCAAACATGTCTAAACTAAGCTTTATGTGTGTATCACATTGTTGGTGGTTTCAGACTTGTGACTTGGCTTTTCTCTCAGCTCACTGAGGCTGTCTCAACTGCCGACAGATAGAGATCAGCTTCCTGCAGACTAAGACATTGTATTGGACGATAATAAGGTGGAAGAGGACACTCTCTAAACAGTTGTACATGAAAATTCAGGTGGCAAACGAGTATCGAGGGGTTAAACACATAAATACAGAGTGCAGCAGTCAGGTTTTCTTTCAGCTCTCTTGCACATCTGATCTAACGTAGGTGTAACAAAGGTTGTCGTGTCTGGGTCTTAATTGGGCCAGGTGTGAAAGAGGAGAGCTAGAGCTGTAACACGCAGGATGGGAACTATCTACAAGTTGAAAATGCAGACTCTACATCGTCCAGTGATGCAACAACCATTTTCCTTCGATAGCATTTGTGTTTAGGTCAGTTTAGCTTGTTAGCTCACTTAATATCTGCTCAGCCTTGATATAAACTCAGGCTGCCCCCGACTAAGACTTTTCCTAGTTGAGTCAGTCGACCAATAGTTGTCCTACATTACAGAGAAATACAAACCGTACTAATGAACCTTCATTAATATAGGTCTATATTTTATCTCCAAGTGCACGTCACACACTGAGCGAGCCGCCTGTTAATGACGCTGTGGGCTAATGGGCATGTAGCTACTTCCATGTTTCAGATGATACGTCATGTTTGTAGTCGACCAATGAAGATGAGTTTACATATCACCTTGGGTTCGTCCTTCACCTTCTCAAAATGATCCCACACTTTGGATTTCCTGCCCGACATGTTATTAACTAGCCTGTGGAATAACTGCAGGCTAGTTAATTGCCTGGTGACACCTGCAGATGCCTTAATGAAGTTCATCAATGACTTACACTTTGTACATCTGTTGGTTTAACATACAGTACCGTAAGTAAAGGCAGCATCCTTCTGCACACCTTCCATATTCTAACCATGAATCAACAGACAGACTTTAGTTTGGATTTGAGAAGCTTCTCTAAACAGCAGATGATTGAACGTTGCCGTGGAGCTCTGTCATTATCACCCTGTTATCCTCCCAGCAGATGGGGGTTTGTTGTTATGGTGGTGACATGGAGGGGGGGGGGGGGGGGGTCCTGCCTTTTAAAGGCCAGAATTTGTTCATCTGTCTTTTTGCCAGCCTGTCTTGGCTTGAATGTGAGCCTCATTTCAAGGTTTGAGCTGTTACTTCTCACAGTGTCCATCATGAGAGTGAGTAAACCCAGATTTTCATTCTTTGTTCCAGCGTCCAGGGGAAATTTGACAACAGATTTTAGGTTAATGGTCAGGAAACCTTGTTTTATAAGCTGTCTGCTGTATACTAGGGGGAATATTTCTTAGTCACTCACCGAGGCAAACCAGAAAGGCCTGTATTTGCTTTGGACTATTGTGGAATTAGGCTGTGTTGTTCAAGCCAAAACCTCCCTATTTACTGGGACATGGAGGTTTGGCATCCGGTTAAAAGGTTTGGATTAACACACCGATGTACCACCTTGTTCCTTCCCAGCCAGCTCTCCGAGCCCCGAGGGACATGCTCTCTGCAGAGAGACCTGGAGACTTATAAACTCAGGATTGTTAGTGCCTGTGGCAGCCACAGCCTCTGAACATAAAAATTCCTCTGGCATTTAAAAGTCCCACATGAGAAAACGCAGAAAATATGGGATTCACACAAATCTGTCTGCATGCAGTCGATCAAGAGCGTAATTTGAGCCCAGTTTGCATATGTCAGGCATCAAATTTGATGCTGCGTCAAGTTGATTTATGTTGAGGCCAAACGCATTTAATGGTATGAAATGTGTCTGTGATGCTGCTGCTCATCCATACAAGTTCGGTAGCCTCAAGGCTGTCTGGTGATCAAATGAGACAATGATAGCGCCAGCATTCAATCAGGTGTCTTGACAAAAACGAGACGGGCGTCACAACGCTCAGTGGTCTAATCTGTGTGTATGTTGAAGCAGATGTTGAGTGGGAGGACTCATGAGTAGCTGTAGAGTTGCCAGTAAATGTTTGAAGTTTGACTCTTTTTCTCTTGAACATATTCAGCACTGCTCCACGGCCCAAAGGGGTCTTTCACTCCCACCCGCTTAGTTAAAAGCTAACTGGTCCCAGATTACAGGTTAAAGCTAATGGTGGGGCTGTAGCTCCTAATCATGCAGATGCTCCCACAGTGGGAAAGCTGTGCTCAACGCAGGTTTGGGGGAGAGGATACACCAGGGCATTTCTTAGTGGGTGAGATCCATTTGGCTGCCAAGTGTTCCTACACGACAGGAAACAGATCAGGCTGGAACCGGAGCATAAAGTAGCTCAGTGCGTCTTTGGCTCCAGGACCTTGTTCCTTTACAACAAGCAAAAAATATATTTATGAGGGGGGAGATTGTTGGTGAAGATTCTCAGTCATCCAGGTCATGGTAATCTTAAGTGCTATATCGTAGGCAACTGGACTTGCTTGAGTTTCTTGGAGACGTTTCACCTCTCATCCTAGAGGCTTCTTCAGTTTCTTGGGGGGAGAGTTTGTGATGAGTAGTTGGGGTGAGTTTTTCAAAGCTGACCAATATTTTTGGTTTGAATTGCCAGTTGTCTGAACATTCAGTCTGTGATAATTGGCGGGCAACTGTGGCTCAGAAGGTAGGTTGGTTGTCCACTGATCGGAAGATCAGCGGTTCGATTCTCGGCTCCTCCAGTCTGTATGTCAAAGTATCCTTGATCAAAATACTGAACCCCAAATTGCTCCTGCTGTCTGTTCCATCGGTGTGTGAGTGTGTTAAAAATGATTAGCAGGTGGCATGTAAGCTGATGGAAAAAATTATTTTTGGCCTGCATGACGTTATTAGATGGACGTAATCCCACTGTTTCCCTGAATTGGTTTTGTTCAATTAATTTCAGTTTTAGCTTTTTTATTAGCATCTAGTTTTTGGATTTGGGAGAGAATTGCTCTTGTTTGCCAGTGTTTTTGGACCGTCTTGGACCATCGGGATGACATGTATGAGTTTTGAAAATAGACGTCGTTTCTTTGTAAGCTCACATTGCTGCGTAGCTGTTGTTTGTGTGGCTCAGCAGAGCTCAGAGACGCTGTGTCTGCAGCAGAGGGGTACAGCGGCAGACAGCAGCTGACATTTAGAGTTCAGAGGCCACCCTGTTGGCCTGGTCTGCCAGGGCCCCCATAGGTGGGCTGACCTCTCATAGTGACAGCTGGATAACCAGTCACAGAGTCTGACTCCCATGCAGCACCCGGGGGAGAGGACGGCGTGGGCTGCTGTGTTGTTTCAGGGCTGAGAGGAGTCATGTCAAACTCCATGTCTGCTCTCACTGAGACTGAACCTGGCTAACTGTTACTGAAGCTTCCTACAGACTGTGAGATTTAAGCAATCTTATAAGTTTAGTGCAGTTAGACTGTTCGACATGGATCTGATAAACTAGTGTACGACGTCAAGTTTGATGACAGCACCTACTGAATCGCAGATTACGACATACAGTACAATAGCATCCCATACAAAATGTTGCACAGGTTATTACTTCTCAAACTGAAGCTCAACGTAGAGAGTCACATAATCAAAATATATGAAATTATTACTATCATAATTTTTTTTAATCAAAAAAGATGTTGATAAAATGTCCAAAAAATATTCTTAAAAAGTCCAAAAAATGTTAATTAAATGTCCAAAATATATTATTAAATTATCCAAAAGAAGTTAATGAAATGTCAATTTTTTAAAATTAAAATGTAAAAAAAAAAAAAAAAAAAAATTAAAAAATGTTGATAAAGTGTTCGATGAATATTATTAAATTGTCCAAAAAAAAAAAGTTTTAAAATGTCTGAAAATTGTTGATAATTTGTTGACATTGTTGATCAAATGTCCAAAAAAGTGTTGAAAAAAATATCCAAAAAACATTATTAAAATGTCGGAAATATGTAGTAAAAAAAAAAAAATTATAATAATAATAATTAATAAATGTCCAACAAATAATTAAAAAAAATGTCTGGAAATTGTTAATAAAATGTCAAAAAATATTGTTAAATTGTCCATAAAAATGTCAATGAAATGTCCAAAATTATCAATGTCTGAAAAAAAGTTGATAAAATGTTTTGTAATTAATTGCCTGAAAAATAAAGTAAAACCAGCACACAGCCAGTATACAACAAATTAAGTCTTCACAAAACACAATGTCGTTGCTAAGAGGTGAGGAAACCCTGATCTGATGTCCCTCTTTGTTTGTGTCCACAGGAGAGACAGCGACTAGAGACCATCTTGAACCTCTGTGCTGAATACAACAAAGGCGAGAGCACCGGCCTGGACCCCCTGGCCTCAGGGAGAACAGGTTTCCCAGGAGCGCTAGCAGATGGCATGGGGCGAAGACCGTCCATGGAGAATGTCCTCGGAGGGACAGCGTCCTCAGCTGCTCTCCGCCTGCTGCAGAGACAGAGAGAGAGCGACGAGGAGAACCTGAAGGAGGAGTGTAGTAGTACAGAGAGCACTCATCAGGAGGTGAGGACGTCTCCTGCTCTCAGCACAGCATCAGCACTGCACAATGGAGACAGACAGGTCAGAGGGAACGCTTCTCTCCCTATGAGATGCTCTCTGCATGCCGCTGTGAGACCAGCATGTGCAATAATGTGCTTGGCTTTGCTGCATCAGTGTGTCTTAAAGTGAGGTTCAGGGACCATCAGGAGGTCCGAGGGCTCCGTTTAAAGTTACCAGAATGTGTCCGCTTGTCAATACATCCAAGTGTCTGTTCACATCAGATCTTTTCAGGGTTCTTTTCGCCATGTTAACATTAACATACATGTTCTCTGGTGCACCTCAGTGCGGTTCACCGAGGTCTTTCCTTTACACTGTTCCATCTTGATGTCGCACAGCGTCAAACTGTAATAACGCCCAGCAGATCTGCTGCTCACATTTCGTAGAACCAGCATCAGAGTGTTGTAAAATAACCGCAGACCCCCCCACTGTGCTTATGTGCACATCAAACATCTTGTTTTAATGAATTATTCTACACAGTTTAGTCTGCACATCAATGGGCGTGTTGGAGACGGGACACATTTAAACAGTTCACACAGTTTCATGAGAAATTGTGAATCTCTTAAAACCTCCCGCTCTGCTTTTAACTCTCTCAGGACTGGCTGCTCCTGTCAGTCTTTAACCTGGTGAATCCTTCCTCAGCTCCGGTTAAGCTCTCTTAAAGAAGGTTGGTCACATTGTCACATGGAGCTCCACATTTTTATTATAGCACAGAAAAGTGAGGCTGCGGTGATCAGTACGATGAGATAAAGACTGTTCACGATCGCTTTTGGGAACCCTCGGCATTACAGAGTGACAGAGCTGTTCTTGCTTTGTCGAGCTGCTCAGAGTTGCTGTTATTATCTAGAATCTTGTTTCACATAGATGGAAACTTGTGATTGTCATGCATGTTCTGTAATGTTGAACTTGTGTGGCCTCAGTGACCCTGCATGACCAGGAAAAGAGAAGCATCAGGGGGTGCAATGTGTTTCCCTGTGCTGTAATGGTGTACATAGTCAGAAAACATTGGCTAAAGCATTAAGCTGCTTAACTGCACCTGTACTACAACCTCCCTCTCTCTTCTTAACTCTCATTTATTGTTTTTTGGGCTGTTTGTGAGAGGCTGCCTGACATCTGTTTGTACAGTGGCTGCTGCATGAACCTCATTTATCAATTGCCTCCTTTCTATAGCCCCTTTTTTACACAGAGATCACGCTGTAGGGCCGCTACAAAGTCTCTTCTTTATGCCACCTTTGCATTTTTTGACTGTGGCATCATTCTGCTCGAGTGTGAGATTATAGACAGCATGCTGGAATCAAAGGCGTGATGGGCCTTACATGTAACACCGCAACATTGGCCTCTAGTGTGACGTAAAACATATATGTCAGTAGCACTTTATAAACAGTGACAATGGTATTAACGTGGCAATAACAATCATTAACCGTCTCTGTTATATTGCGGCTGATCTGGTCCTCTTCTCAGATGGTCATGAACTCTCTAATCTCATTGTTTCCCTAATTGCGGCATTTATTGTCCTGTTCGTCTTCTTTTTTGAGTTAGCCGCTAACTGCTAACAGTTTAACCTACTTTTAAATCTCCAGTGGTAGGTCATGTGCATGACACCTTATCAAATTGTCACACCCATCCTGCTTATGGTCCTGTCCTTATTGCTGTCCTGTTTATACAGACACCATTTCAGTGATGTTATAACCTCCCGAGGCGGCTCAAAGGCGAGGCCACTCTGTCCCCCATTTTGCGATCGAACCTTATATACAGCACGTGATGGTGCTATATTCCAGCCTTGAACAGGACGTGTAAAATGGGCTGTTGTCTGTGTCTTTGTGTTTACTTCTTCTGTCTCTGTCTGTTTGTTATGACAAGAAAGAGTTTCCTAATGCCGGCAGTTTTGGAGTTAGGTTGTCTATAGACTGTATGACATTATGCCTAGAGCTGATCATCTGTATACCAGCATACAGTTTTGCATTTAGGATGCTTAAAAATCCACTGAAACTGAGTGTAGACCTGAGACTCTAAACATTCCCCTGTGAATCATGTAACAGTATAAAGTAATAACAGTGATTATAGCGTACATTCATGAATGCTGGTGTGTAAACAGACGTCACAGTACACTGAGTACAAGTCAAGTCAACGCCGTCCAAGAGCCCGATACAGTATCTGACGTGTAGTGAAAGGTGTGTATGTGTGTCTCTCCCTTCTTCCCCTGGCTTCACTTCATCTCTTGAAAGCCTCCTGTGTTCTCTCTCCATGCAGCATGAGGATTCCAGTTCAGGCAGCGCAGGTCGTCTGGAGCTGGGTTACCTGGAAGACGAGCGGGTTCGCGTCCTCTCTCGGATCGATGAGCTCAAGAGTAGACTGACGGAGCTGGAGCAGCAACTCCAGGAGTCCAAACAAGAGGTAGAACACAGAAAGTGGATGCTAAGGGATTGTTATCTGACTTCAGTCTACACTCAGACTCAAGTAAAATACCTACATTTATATTGATCTGAAATGTCTACATAGAGGAGAAGTTTCACAGCAGCAGCACAGGCTGGATACACTCATAGAAATAAGGGCTCCAAAAGGGTTCTTCCTAAAGGGCTGAGGTTTTACCCAGAACCATTCGCTTCTGGAGAAACCTTTTTTGAAAGGGTTCTTTGTAGAACTAAGGGTTTCATTAAGAATTCTTTTCATCCAAAGAACCTTTTTTGAAGGGTTCTTCAAGGATTGTCGAAAGTATGGGAGTTGAATGATCCTCACCCTCAAATGTGTCAAATGGTATTTTTTAATGAAGATGTATCTGGAATCCCCTTAATCAGTTCATTTAATTTAACACATGTGTTGTACCACCATTTCATGTCATACAGTACCACATGGTCTGCCTTCTGTTTTTTAAACAGGTGTCAGATGCTGGGCATTTTGCATCCGGTTTAGGTTTGTAATTGTGTTTTGGGTCCTATGAAGCCCAAGGCTGCTGAACGTGGTTCCTTTGGCCCCAAGGCTAACCTATTACACTAAACCATTATTAGTTGGAGAGAGATCTGTGGGTAATGTAGTCCATTGCTATTGTTAGTTCTAGATGAAACCGTTGAAATATTGAAGGGTTCTTGCCAGTGTTGTAAATTCACTTTTTTGTCCACCTGGCACTGTGGCTACTGGCCACTCCATAGATTGCCATTGTTTTTTTGGCTGTTGAGTGAAGCAAATCTCGTAGCCACTTGCATATTTTACTGGTGGCTGGTGCTAATTTCCAACCCTGGTTCTCGGTATAATTCATCAGATGGGTTCTTGTTAGCACCCTTGAAAGGTTGAAAGGTTCTGGATAATACCCCCAGAGAGGGTCCTGGGTGGAATTTTCCACAGATGGTTCTAGGTTTAATCCTTTATGTAGGATTCTAGATAGAACCCTCTGATAACCCTTTTCCACCAAATTAGCTCTGGTTCTTGACCCACTAGCATTCAGGATTCTTGGAGCCTTGGTGCCATCCAAACCAGACCGGCAATCCAACCTGTGTTTCCACCAGTTTTGCACGGAACCATTGTAGCCAAGGATGTGTCCTCAATGGAGGGCGTTGCACAACAGAAGTAAACCGTAGCAGCAAAGATAGCAAATAACATTCATTGGCTGCGAACTTTTACAATGTTGTTTTCATCCAAAAAATAAGCATGAACCAACTATCAATGAGACCACTGCAGGTTCTTTTTGTCCGACGATTTCCCACTTGCCTTCTCCATCCTGTCTGTCCAACCTGTAGAACATCACACACTCAGTGACGTCATGACGGGTCGCACTACAGGTGAAGGAAAGCCTGTTATTTGGTTCCAGCTGGGAACTAACTTTTCAGGTTCTGAATCAATTTATCTTTAGTCTAAGTGTTCTGACCCCATCACAAAATTAGCCAGAACGGAACTGGTTCAATGTTGGTGGAAAAGGGGTATGAAAGGGTTCCATGTGGAACCTTTATAAAAGATTTTACCAGAAACAAAAAAGTGTTCTTCTTTGGGGACAAGGTGAAGACATCTCTATGGCTCTAATCAGCAGAGTGCTGTTGATTGTCACGACAACATTACGATGTGGTTCTGTTACTGTGCAGTCTAAAGCCGTGGATCCCACATGTTGGGTCGCAATCCAAAAGTGGGTCGTGGGTCCATTTTGAATGGATCGCAGTGGCCTTGCGAATGTGTCAACTTTGTAAAAAAACACACTTTATTTTTAAGCACAGTGAATATTCGGCACAGAGCTTTTACTTTGAAGTGCCGTTTCCTGCTGCAACATGAGTGAATAACAGACAGCTACTTAACAGAGACAGCAAACTAGCTCAACGACATGGCCAAACACAAGTATGACGCTGAATATTTTAAACTGTGTGGTCCTTGAACTGATGACTAAGGACATACCTGGACCCTGTGGCTGGACCAGTTGGGAACCACTGGTCTAAAGAATGATATTATCCTCGTAGCTCACTGGTGACACTGTGTAACTTTATTTGCTCCACTCTTCCAGGCAGAGATGGAGCGTGCCTTGCTGCAGGGCGAGAGGCAGGCGGAGCTCGACCAAATAGAGGCCGAAACGGACATCATCACTCAGCTGCAGCACAAGCTGGACGAGCTGGAGAGCGCCATCCAGAGGGAGAAAGACAAGGTACAGAGAGCAGAGGATGTTTTACATGCCGTATTTGAATCCATTCATGTACGCAGGATTCAAATATTTGCTGAGGTTCTTAGAGAGGAGAGGAAACACACACATACACTCACTGCCTGTGCTTTGACGGTCTCCTAAACAACCTTCTCTGGTATCTTACATTCCCTACTGGTTCGTCACTGTTGGTGTCCTTACATCAGACGGCATCACTGTCTGTTTGATATATTCAAATGTTTGGTACAGACAGCTGTGTAAAGGGCTGAGCAAAGGTCTGGATTGATCTCCTTGGGTATTCTCTTTTGCATGTTTCTACAGTAGTAATTTGCTCTCAGGTCAACTCCCATCTGTATTCTTCTTATCTGGACTCCGCTGACTAACTGACATCCATTAACCCCTAATCCTTCCTCTGCTTCTTCAGCACTCACAGTTGCTGTATCTCTGATCCACTGCGATCTCCTGTTTCTTCACTGTCTGCATGACAGACCCTGTGGGCCAGGAAACCTGCCCTCCGATGGCTGTTTGGGCTCTGTAGTCTTTGGTTCTGTAGTGCACGGGTTCTACAAGAGACTTCGAATAGGAGGGTCTGATAGTGGATGGGGGAAACTACTAGCATGTTCTCTACCTTACCTGCACCCACCACATCTGAACTGTAGTATGAAAGAAAGGACGTTAAGAGTAAGCTCGTTTAGCAGCTTGACTGTTGGTTGTAAATTTGTTTTTAAATCAGCTCTTGTGAAACTTCCGAAATCCAATGTTTTTGTCTGTATTTCCCAAATGTTCCTGTGAGGGTCCGACAGGGGTCCCAGTGAAATGTAAAGGTGACATTAATAATGATTTACTGGAGGATAAGTCATTGAGTCAGTGAATCAGGAATGGCCACTTTGGCTTGATGTCTCAGTGTTATCGCCCCTCTTACGCGATAAACTTGTCTTGAAAGTCCAAGAATACAAGTTATCTTTTGTGGAATTACTTTTCACGAAAGTGGATCAACATTTGGCACAGAAATGTCAGGGAACCTGAGGTGTTAGTAAAAGATTATAGGATAAATTCTCCCTGAACCTGTGGTTCTATAGTCTCGCTCACCAACTCTCACTTTAAGATTGGAGAAAAAAATGCCCCGGCTGCTTGTATTTCTTTCAACCAATCACAATCGTTCTGGGCGGTGCCACAGCAACGGTGTGCTTGCAAAAATATTGCCAGGGGGAAACAGGTTTTGGTGTAACACGCCCACAAAAATATCGCCTACAGGACGTGAACGATGGCAGAAAAATGGCTACATCCCCGCAAGATCAAACACCGCAAAAGTTAGTAAAGGATGTGTTGAAAACTGCAAACAGAGGTGGTAGGGCGAGACTTCAGCGGGTGGCTCGTTCCGCCCAATGAGAGGCTGATCTATGCAGCGAACTTCCGCCCACTCAGACAAGTGGTTCTACTACCTAAAATAAAATTATAAAGCATCACTGTTGAGAGTAAGTTGAGAAATCAAGTTCAATCAATGGTCATCCACACTTGATTTTAAGTACAGATCTTATCATAAATGTAGTAATAACTGTCTGTAGTCTTCAGTTGATGGGAGACAGTGTGACACTTCCTGTTCCTGTGTTCTCTTTCAAACATTTGTTCGGTATCTCACTATGGAGGGTACATCCCTCTGCGTATTCCTCGGAAGCCCAATGCCATTATCCCAGTGCTACAGGCTCGCAGTCGTGACAACTGCATCAAGAGGAGGTACATCCTCTGTCTGTAAAAGGGGGTAATGCAGCATCACCAGCTTGTTCAAAAACCTCAACTCGCTTTTTTACCCAGAAAGCTAAATGTCTCGACAAGACTGCCAACGGGACTATTAGCTTAACAGCCCACAGACTGAGCTAACCACTCGACCGCCGGTCACTAAGATACGGAACCCCGATTTGATACCACACTCATGTAATTAGAGAACCGGGGTTACCTTTGTAACCCAAAGGTTTCGCCTTGAGTGTCCCCTCGACTCTGAAGACACAAGACAGTGCCCTGCCTTTCACTCAGGACCAAAACTCCTGTCAGTGCTAGTAGTCCTCAAAGACCTGCCAACCTTTTCAACTTCACACATCAAACTGAAGAAAGTGTTTCTGAGTTTGAAACTGGAGCAGCACCAAAGAGACACGATGTGTCTGTGCTTTAACTGGAAATCAGCTGAGACAGTGTCACTGCTGACAAACACTGCTCAGGATTTCAAGTATAAATGTTCTGGGACCAATAAATGTCAAGCAAATTATGGGCCAATTTTCCAACAGCTTATTGAAGTCTTTTGAAGGATATTTACAGGCAGTAGTTGTCAGTGACAGAAGGATTTTAGCAAGTCCCTAGAAGGCACTCAAATGTGTCTGTTACTTAAAATTAAATTAATTGTATGAGGAGAACTAGAGGGGTGGAATGATCTTCTCTGGTTATTCTAAGACCATGTTCCATCAGGGAATCCCAGACCGCCATTTGAAACATCCCAGCAATCAATGAGCTACTTCCTGTGCCCTGCCGAGCCCTAGAGATCTGCCCCGACATGTCTGTTGCTAACACCTCACAGCTTTTTATTTGCATGGCGTGGATTTTTGAGCAGTGTGTTTCTCTCTCTGTCTCTTTCTCTCCCCTCGTCCATCCATCCTGTGTGTGGGTGTGTGTTGTGTCTTTCTAGGAGAGGGCTAATGTTGAGGCCGAGCGGCGGGCCCTGCAGAGCCTCCAGGAGGGCTACGCTGAGTTGGAGAACCAGCTTCATAACTGTCCCGAGTCGCTGCGGGAACAGTTGCAAGAACAGCTCAAAAGGGTGGGTCGTCAGAACAACAGAAGCACATAGACCCCGCCCCCCCCCACCATCCCACCCCTCCTATAGACTTCAGTCTGCAGCAGCCTGACCATTCGAATCCACAGAACATGACCTGATCCACCACCTACACACACATGCACACACACCACCCCACAGTCACCATCCCACCCACAGCCTCTTAGTGAGTAGCATCAGCCCAGTCCCCTGAGCACCAGCCTGACGCACAGAAGCAGTATTTGGTATTAAGCACCCTTTTTTTATTTTGGATTTATAACATCTGGGGCCAGATATATGAACGATGTGTACCCCTTTTTTTCCACACATTAACTGGTACCTATAAAGAAGGAATGTACACACCTCACACGTTCTTCACACCAGGCAGAGTTTTAGCTGAGAGCTGAGGCAATTATACAACTTTGGAACGAGATTAGTCCCTGATTCAGACCAAAGGAGACAACTCTAGGTCTGATTGATTGTAAGTGCAGTGATATTTTTTGGGGGGTCAGATAATCCACATTAAAAGGCATAGATAAAAGCATTACAACGCTTCTGTCTGTCACACTCTCACTGCTACTGTACATACTGCTCTCAGTGTTAGTAGGACAGTGAGGGTGCCAGGCCTCAGCACATGCCATCGCACATAGTGCTACAGGCACCTTTAACCCTTCAGCAGGGGCCCACTACATACTGTATGGTTTTAGACACACACACATACACACACACACACACACACACACTCAGTGTTTATGACAGCCTCCCTCACAGACGTGCTGTTGCCACAAGCTGCAGGAATTCTGCCTCCTCCACACAACACCTACATGCTACTGAATCCCTCAGGAGCTCACACACGCACACACACACACGCGCAGCTCCTGGTCACTGCAGCTGCTGGTGATGCATTTTGGTAAACTGTGCGTCATGTGACACGGCGGCGCTGCACTGCATGTGTGAATCTGATCTGCATCTCTTCTCTGATTTGTCATGGCTCGCATAATTTGTGTAACTGCTGACTAATCAATTAACATAGGCCCTGACTAGATCCATGCTTTGTCTCCCCCTGCTCTCATCCTGTGACTTCTCTGGAAATGAGTCTTGTTGTTTGAAATAAACAAAAACAAGTTAGAGTTACTGTAGGCTGCATTTATGTGTTGACGGTGATGCTCTGTGTGCAGATCAGATTCAGCGAAGCTGTATGTAGAGCTGGAGTCTTTATTTATTTTAGTTTGTTCGGCTCAGTGAGAGACCAAACCTTGAGAATCAGTGTCTTGGCAGCGGCGTCAGGCTGCACAAATACACTTCAACATTAAGTGCTAAGTAGAATAAAGTCTAAACTCAGAACAAAAGTTGCTCCCAAGGTTTCAGACTTGTTTAAACGTCCACAGTAGATTTTTAACATTCTGAGTTCTTTGTTCCTGTTTTGACCACTTGTGTAAAATGAGTCATTTTCATCTCAGTGAATTAACTTTGCAGCCTGTCGGCTCCTTCACAATTGCTCCAAAGATTCTTTAGAGCCCACAGACTCAAAGACTCGTCTCCCTGCTGCTGACAGAAGTTAAACTTGTGAGCAACAACATGGAGGATGGCCTGATACCTGAGAGAAACCTTACAGATTTATATGTATTTACATTTAAGCCATCAGTATCTTATATTTCCATGAATCATACTTTCCTCCATGTAGGATTTGTAAGATAGTTTTTGTAGTCCGAACAGTGCAGGGCTAAACTCTGACCTTTTAGAAGTGGTAACTGGGCTAGCAACCAGGCATTTAGTTGCCACAACCGAAGATATGGTTGCCATTTTTCACCTTACATGATGAATAATTACTGTGCAGTTATATGGCAGCTTAATATTGAAAATATGACATAAAATAATGTTTAAAAGCTTTAGTACAGTAACCAATGGAAATTATTTGTAGTTTGTGTTTATCTGCTCTCATTAGGGCTGCACGATAATATCGGGGCATCATCAGCATAGGTGGATATTGGGTTAAAAATTAAATGTCAGAATTGGCCAACATGCTTTTTGTTATTTTGCACAATGACTGAACAGTGCATACATTTAAAAGTATTTCATGTCTGTATAATATGATGTTAATTCCACTACAGAAGAGACTTGATGATCACTAAAGTCAGGAGGGCAAAAAAGTGAATATAGCGATATCGGTATCAGTTATCAGCCAAATAAGTTGTTTACATATCGGATATCGGCAAACAATCCAATATCGAGCAACCCTAGATCTTATCTATCCGTTCAGGTTCATCAGATTATTTTTCAGTTGAAGAAGTATTTGCACATACGTTCAGGATTTTGACAAGTTGGTTTAACTTTTCACCAAACAGTCAAACACGTTAAATTGCTTTGCCTGTGTGTACGCAAGTAAATGTGCCCACGCATGTGCAGCGTTGTCCGGATCCAGTCCTGACTCTGATGGCAACAAAATATGTTAGAATATATAGAAATGTTTTTTTTCCCAGGTGCACGTTTTGCTCTTTGTTGCCCCTATTGATCGTCATTTTTTTTTTAAATTGTTGCCAATGGCCACGTTAATAATAGTAATAATAAAAAATGATCAGAAATACTTTATTGATCCCTGAGGGAAAATTGTGATTCGTTACAGTCGCTTCGATGTAAAGAATAGAGAATCATAAGAAGTAAGAATAAGTATGAACTAGAAGTATGTCAATGTAAAGCAATAAAATAAATAAATAAAATAGAAATAAATATGTACATTAAAATAAAGCATGAATAATCCCTCCTCAAGTCTCCCTGACATGTGGCGCTGATATGTACACTTAATCTCTCCAAAAATGTTCTACAAAGTTCCTAAATTGTGAAAAATTGAACAGCGGCAGAAATGACTTTTTATCATAATTTATGTTTTGCTTCATAAACTGCTGTCAAAAAAAATATATATATATAAAAAATGAAAATAAAAAATAAAATGTGCAGTATGCTACAGTGTTTAACACTAATGCTTAAGATGTAAAAAAAATAAAAATAAAATATATATCATCACTGAGCTGAGGCTGTAAGTGTGAAAGTTAACTACCATAAATACATTGATATAATAATTATAATAATTATTTTAATCGTAATTCATAAAGCACCTTTCATACAAGAAATGCAGCATAAAGTGCTTTACAATAAGAGCAGTATAAGCACTGAGGGCTCCACATTAAACAGACATAAACCAGACACACAAGGCAATTCAGTTTAAAAAAGGACATTTAAAAACAGTTTAAAACATGGATTAACTGATTTAAAAATTTTCATTTAAATGTGGTGGTGATTCAACATCCTGTTAATCAAAATCTCATATAGTATTTCTACTTATGTCACCTTTACGGCCTCCCGATATCATTAACAGTCAGAGCCTATAATTCCCAACGAGCACAGACTCACCAACAGGCGTTCAATAACCAAAAGAAGCATCTTTCAAATTACCCCTGAACGTCCTCTCAAGAGTTGACCTCACTGCGGGTATTGTGCTGCAGGAGCTTCCTCTCAAGAAGTTTAAGTAAAAGAATTCTGTGGAGAGAAAGTGACAGAGGGAAAAATCAAATTATGTTAATACAAATTAAGTTAAAAAAAACAACAACACATTTTTGACCATAAATATTCCAGTGTAAAAAAATAAATATGTATTTTATGTAAATGAGCATCCTTTGCCTCTTGTGTATCACAGTCCATCTAATGACCACACACACACACACACACACACCAGTTGCTGTGCTGCAGTAGAAGCATGTTCTTCGTGACTGTCTGCTTGACTGAGCACAATGTGCTTTTACTTGTCCCCAAAATGAGCTTCATCCCTGCTGGGAAATGTTTTCATTTGTCTCAGATATAAAAGTCGAGGTGTTTTGGCTTCACTGTCGGCAGCTACGCTAGTCTGAGAGTAGTGGATGGCTTTAAAATGAGCATTCAGTGTGTTCAGTGCTGTTTCCCTGTTTATGATGTAACCGCTGACGTTGTGTGTGCGCCTCCATCAGGACGGAGAGGCGCTGGAGACAGGAACCAAAAAGTTTGAGGACTTGGAGTTTCAGCAGCTGGAGAGAGAGAGCAGCCTGGAGGAGGAAAGAGAAACCATCAGCCAGCAGCTGCTCCAGGAGAGAGCCGAGTACCACAACAGTGTGGCCAAGAGGAAGGTAAGGAAACATCATCACTCAGTGCGAGGATATGATGATGGTGTGTGTAGTATGGGCTTATGTGTAAGAGCTGGAGCCGCCAGTGGCAAATATCTCTGCAGAGATTCAGTATCTGTTTAGTTTGACCAGACTTTTAACTGTAAGAGCAAAGCTTGTGGGTTATTATGTTCGATGTACTCAGAAGGTCAGTGATGCAGTGTGTAAGCAACAGCAGGCAGAGAGGGAGCAACCAAACAAGCCTCAAACCTCTGCTCCCTGCATGAATTCAATTTCTGTGATGTAAAACCAAGAAAATACCACCATGCATTCATTTTGCACCACCGGATCCTTCCACTCTGGCATTAATAAAGTTAAAGGATGTGTTCTCTGCTGTTTTCACTGCACAGCCTACACTAAAGCCTTCATTCATTCTCTCTGCCATCTTTAGGAGAAGGTATCCGCTCTGGAGAGCCAAGCCAACCAGCTCGGCCTGCAGGCGTCCCAGGAGTGTGAGCGGCTGGCCAAAGACAGAACCCTCACACTGCAGATGCTCCAAAAGGTACTTGGTAACCATTTCATGCTCACACTAGCCTAGAGATGGCGCTGTAGAGCCGCTACAAAGTCCCTTCTTTATGCCGCCTTTGCATTTTTACATCATGCTGCTCCAATGTGAGATTATAGACAAGATCCCAGCATTGCAGAATCAAGAGAGGCGTGACAGGTGTGACATGTAACAAAACAGCGTCGGCCTCTAGTGTGACATATAACACACGCATTGGCAGCACTTTATAAACAAGCGCATAACATGACAGTAACCTCGTGTTTCTACTTGCGTATCTGTACGGAGAAGAGTCTACAGGAAGTCCATTCACATGGGAATCTCTGTGATGTCTGATATGCCTCCTCTCCTCCGTAATGTTTCAGTCTGAAAAATAACCTCAAGTATTTTAAAAAATTAACTTTTGAGGGACGGTAGCTAACAGGCTTTTTCCTTCAATTCAGTTCCCTGTGTCGATTGACAAGCGAGTTTGACTGATTACAAATAACTTTTTTTTCTTGTTATAACACAGTGTGAATCTGAGTAGTGTTAATCTGCGAAAATATGGTTATAGATTATGTACAGACATTGTCTTTATGACTTGTTCAGCCATTCATATGTCTTTATGATTAAATATTTCCTCGATAATGTTCCATGCGCATATTCCAAACTACCAGATGGTGAAAAACTGACAAAATTAGCCTCTCCACCATGGCTACAGGTAGCTTCTATCAGGTTTCTATCCATCTGTAAGGAAAGGCACTTCCTTGCATTGGACACTGGAGGCCTCATCCGTGTATTTACGGATCTGCGGACACCAGTCACATAAGTACGTGGAAACAAGGTGTAACTGTCCCTTTTAAATGGTGGCTGATCTCGTCCTCTGCTCGGAGGGTAATGAGCTCCTGGACCTAATTCTTTTCCCAATTTGTGGACATTTTTAGCTGCTGTTCTTCTTCTTTGAGTTAGCTGCTAACTGCTATCATCTACTTTTTAAATCTCCTGCAGTGGGTTGCACGCATTACATGTCATCAGAATGTCATTTTGGCTCTGTTACCACCTCCATTCCTGGCTCAGAGGTGAGACAACTCTGTCCCCCATTCCATGATCGTACCTTATGTACAGAACAGTGAGGCAGCGTATTGCCGTGATATTTCCACCTTGAGCTGTCAACTGTCAAGTGTAAAGGGGGCTACTGTGAGTGCATTGAATAATGTTTCACCCAAAGCCTCGATTTAAAGAGCTGCTCCCCAACAGCTAACACACTGTACGTCTGTATGTTCCAGGAGAAGGAGAGGCTGTCGGCCCTGGAGAAGAGATACCACAGCCTGACGGGTGGAAAGAGCTTCCCCAAGTCCTCCACTGCGATGAGAGAGGTGAGAGAACGACTGAACACACACAGTCAGCGCTGCCGGCCTTAAAACAAAAGGGAGCGTTGATGACTCACAGCTGACTCCTCACCACATTCACGTCTTTGACTTGAAGTGATTTCCAAACTTGGTGTTAGATTTTAGGATTTAACTGTTCAGCACGACTGCTGTGATCAGACTAAAGCTTGATGTTGGGTGTGTTAATAATGCGGAGTTGTTGATGATGTGTGTGTAGCGCAGACTAACTCACTGATGCTTTAAGACCCTGTTTACACCGGGTGTTAACATGAGTCCTGGTTTGTTGGATCACAAATGGACAGCTGTAGGAAGTACAGGTGTAAACGCACCCAGTGCTTCTTACATGCGTCATTAGAGCTGATCCCTGCTGAGTTGATCTTCTTCCAGGATTTCTCAAGTGGTCACTCAAGATACACACTTTGTAACTCAAGGTGTGAGCAGACCGAGCTGTCCTGCTGTGATCAGATCACGACAGACACATGTTACTCCAGGTGTGAACACCTCTGACAGACGGAGGGTGATTGACAGAACACCTGTCTCACACACTCCCTGTAGCTCTGCTTCATGTGGAGAACTTGTATCTGTGTCCTGACGTTCTCTGAAGACATTAAAGGCACTTCTTCCTGAACTGTTAAAACAGGAAGCGCTCCACATCAGCGAGGCCGACCTGTTGTTGGAGGATATCCACTCCTCCCAGCATTCCCTCTGTCGAGCCTCTCCTTCCTACTTACATCCCTCCCCTCTCTGTCAGTTGTACCCCAGCAGCCCTACAGAGGTAACCAGACTAACGACTCCTGCATGAAGCCCGCTGCTTCCCCCTCTGCTGTCTGTGTGACTCACCCCAGCGCTCACCCATTTTACTGTCAGTGTCCTGGTTGCACTTCAGCTCTAATTGCACCTGTGGCTCTCTGTGCTGTGTTGTGCCTGGCTGGGCTGCTCTTTCCCATCGGACACAGTTTACAGCAGCTGTGTTACAGTAGCAGTCGGCACAGCAGCTTCAGTTCGTGTTGAGTTTGTCTGCTCCGTGCTCAGGGATGTAGTGGAGGATATGGATGTTCTTATTTACCACTACATCACTGGTTGTTGTAACAGCCAACAAAAGTACCCGTGTGTGACATGCTGTGTGTGTCAGCCAGCTGTGACGCTAAAGATGCTTTTTCTGTTGCTTGGTGTGTTCCTGTTTGTCTGCTGTCTCCGTGCACCTCTCAGCCGTAGCACCAGCACTTAGGTTAAATATGGGCCTGCTTTATTTCCCACAACACGTCTCTATGGGCTCTGTGTTTCTGTGTGTGTTCATATACTGTACATGAGTGCGGTGCAGCTTTGTCCTCATGGCTTCTCATCCTGTCTGACCTCTGCTGGCTGCTGGCTGCTGCTCAGGAGTACATGAAGCTGTCGGATGTCTATAAGATGTACGGCAGCGGCGGCCTCCGCGAAAGCAGCAAGCCCGCCTCTCACGGCCGCTCGTTTGCCGTCGATGCTGCATTAGCGGGCGCCTGCGAGGTACCATCACTTCCTGTCTGTCTCTGTCCTGATGAGATTCTGTCTCTCTGCTCTCCTCTCTGTCTGTCTGACCATCTCTATCCATCCTTCCATTTCTATATCGTGCTGCTCCTTCTGCTGGTTTGCTGTTAATCAAAGTGTTGGCTTTGTTCTCTGCTACATGAGCTGTTGGTATTATTAGCATCTTGACTTGTACTCACCCCGTCTGCAGCCAGAAGGCAGCGCTCACTTACAGTAGGATCTGTAACTGCATCATATCAGCAGTGCAGAGGGTTTAATTAGGGCTGGACTGATCAATGCAGGTTTGCATTGAGGCAACTAAAAGTTAAATTGTAAAATTGCATGCCAAATATATTCAATATTTTCTTGCTTCTGCAAAACAAAACTGGGCCGGGTGTGATTTTATGTTGTTGTTGTTTTATGTAAGTGTCAGTACAATGAGTTTGGGTACTGGTACCAAAGAAATTATTTAATAAAGGTATTTCAGGGTGCATTTTTATGCCTGTATTTGAAAACTGAAAGTAGAGACATAACAGGTCAAGTAGACAAATCAGGGTGTGTGCAGGTCCTTAAAATGTCTTAAAATGCCTTAAATTCAGATTTATAGATACACAAGTCCTTAGAAATCATGAAATACTCTTAAATTTGAATTTTGTGAGGTCTTAATTGCTACACAAATTTTATCTATCTTAATTTATTCCTCTTTTAATTTACTTTTATTAAAATGAGTTAAGCTCTACTGTGTGAAAGTCCACATTTCTGAGGTCACAGATCTTTAAACCTACCACTGAACCTAACACTGTCTTTTTACTTTACTAGACTGACCTGTTGGCAAAATGTAGATAAACCCAACTCACTCTAATAATCTAATTCCTACATTAAACCTACCTCTGCACAGGACCGAAAGCTACTCACCTGTGAAAATCCAAAAATCAGTATTAACTATTCTCTGTACTCTACAGATGCAGGCGCTCTAAAAACACGAGGAAGATTTTCATTGGAGTTTAAAATTTGTGTCATTTGTACTCGTCAAATCTGAACACAAAGACATGATACACATATTTTAACATTCAGTGTGACTGACATTTTCTTAAGATGTCATTATGTCCGAGCTACATCATGAAAAGATTCTATAAATCTGCTTAGAAATCTTAGAGAAAAAAAGATGAGATGAGAATCATCACACTTTTATGTTTTCCTGCTGTTACCTGTGGGCAAGATGTACATTAACCTAACTCTAGAAATTATTTTGAAAAGGTCTTAAAAAGCGTTAAATTTAAGTGTGTCATTAAAGCTTCACACGGTTTGCCTTAACAATGAAAAGCAAAATTTGATGAGTGCATCATCGATCAGCCATAAAAGAGCTTCTCCCAAATATAATCATAATCTAAAATGAGCAACGTTATGATTTAAATGAGGAAATGTTTCTGATTGGTTCCCACTGATACTCAGCTCTGTTCTCGTGTGACAAAAACACAGCATAGCAATAAATATATGAGCAAATATTTCTGCCTGTTCAGAGCAATAAAATGTTCATGGCAGCATTTTAGGTAAACGAGAAGCAGCTCTTTATATCAGTCTAAACCTAATGTTGACTGTATGTTGTAACAACCCTCCTCCCCTCACTCCTTCATGATGCAGACGGTCACTAAGTGAATATAATGTTTCCCTCCTGCTGCCTGTCGTACTGACGTGTTTGTCTTCACTCCTGTCTCCTCTCCCTCCTCCGTCCTCCTCTGTGTGTGTGTTGCCTTTGCGAAGGAGTATGTGACAGTGGGACAGTTAAATCAGATGTACGGGATGCCCAAGGTGGAGTCGTCCCCGACTTCCCCGCTTCGCCAGCCCCTGCAGCCTGGAGCAGTAGACCCCGCCTTCTCCTGCCTCTCCTCTCCACACGGCTCCTCCCTTTCTCTCTCTGTGGAGGTGTGTGCTGCCTACCTTCCTTCCCTCCCTCCTTCCATCCTTCCTGCTTTTAATACTGCAGTAGTTTATTGGCTTTCACCAGCGCAACTAAAAAGTGGTGTTCCCCTGGTTTCTTCACTTTGCTTCGGCCTGGGATTATAGCGCCCCTCATTTGTGTCACAAACTCATTGTTTCCTGAGAATCACCAAACGTAGCTCACAGTCACACCGCTGATTCCACTTTTATAAACCATAACATTTCATATCATGCTAATCAAAACCAAACTGATCTATTTAAGCTGCGTGATGGTCCTGTCAGTGAGCAGCGTGTCGCCATCATCTGCTCAAAATGTTTTTTATGGTCAGGACAACAGAGACAGAACAGACAGGGAGCTCTAATAACTGTGGTTAAACAACTCTAGTTATTCTTTCAGACATTATGAGCTGTAGTATGCATTAAGCTCCGAGGACACTGAAGTGAAGTAAAACATAAAATGAGATGAAAACTTAAATGTTCTTGTTAGAAACTGGGTCATTGCAGCAGCAACACAGAGTTAGAATAGAGACATGTAAAGCAGCGATGTAGCAGCTGGAGGCGATGAAGCCTAACGCAGCTGACAACAATAATGTGTTGAACATATTTAAGGATCATTTTCAAAGTATAAAAAACCCTTAATTACAGCCTCTGAGGGTGTTTAAAGCAAATGTTTCTACCTCTTCCTACTGTCTTTGAATGCTTTCTAATCTCCTCTTGTCTTCTCTTCTCGTCTTTGTGTTCTTCTTCTTCTGTGTCTCCTTGCCGCTCCGCCATGTGCTCTCCAGTACCCGTCTGAAGGTAGCAGGTCTCACCTGCCCAAGCTAGATTTAGAGCAGTGGTACCAGGAGCTGATGGCTGGCTCCAGCCAGCTCTGTGCTCCCCCTCTGCCAGCCAAGTCTCTGTCGGGCCGCAGGCCTGTGCTGCAGGTAGAGGGCCTTTCTTCTTTCTCCTCCTTTTTCCCCACTCATTTGTCTGCTGTTTGTGTGCTTTTATTCTCCTTCCAACCTTGACACTGCTTCAGCTGTGTGTGTCTAACCAACAGCAAAAAAAGTCTGCAAACATCAGGGGCTGCATTCACAAAGCTTCCTCCTACAAAGAGTTGCTCCTAAGAAAATTATTAGATTTATGATGTTTTCTTAGAATTTCCCCTTAAAGTTAAGACTAGGTCCTGGTATACATAAGAGTTATTAACAAAGCATCTTGGATCTTAAGAGAGGACTTAAGGTGAGAAACTGTTCGGAGCAGAGGGGAGGACTTTTAGTAGTTTTAATCAAGAAACACAAAGAGGTCAGAAAAATATTCTCCAGACACTGAATGAGTTAATGAGATGCCACAGATTAGATCGTGCAGGGATGTTTGTGGTCGATCTTATTGGAAATACACACGCATGTTTCTCACCTAATAATATAACATCAGAAACAAAATGATCACAATGCATCAGTGCAGCAGAGACGACTTTGGTCTATCTCAGCCTTCCATCAGCAGAGTGATCACACAGACAACAGGCCTTTCCAAAACCCAACCCCACCCACTCCGTCACCGGGTATAACTCCATTTGTTGTCACCTTCACAGCTGAATGAAGCTCCCTCCATATATATATAGGGTGTAAACACAGCGGCAAGCTTTGGGACAAACTTCTCTCTCTGCAGCGTAAACAGAAACTGTTGTAACTTTTTGTAACCATGGAGAAAAATAAAGCGTAATATAATTTTATGTTCTTTAAATGTATTTATAGCACTTATAGTTAATCTATATGTGCTGCCAGAAGCCTGCCTGGATTTTTGTATATTAAGTTTTTATCATTAAAAAATTAAATAACTTGATAAATTGAGATATAAAATAAATCAATATATAAATAGATAGAAATACAGCGTACCCTAAGCGTCTTTATTGGCTTGTCTTTTCTTTCTTTTCTTTTTTTTTTGTAAACATCTTTTGGCTTTTCACTGATTTTTTTTTTAAGATGCTTAGTTTTGCAGTTGTCGTAAATAAACAGTGAGAGTGTCCTCAGAATGTTTGTGAATACGACCCCTGATGTTAAATAATACTGAAATTACACCATATGAGAGTTTTCCTGATGAAGCCTCTAAAAAAACTACAAGAAACTACTGTTCACCTCTGCTTTGAGATGATCAATGACTGAATAAACTGCCTCATTTCATTCTGACAAATGAAAGCAAAAACCAGGACACAGCTGCATGCTGGGACTTTTTGTTGTGACTGGAGCTTCAGGGTTTGCTTTGGTGTAAAACATGAAGTCAGTTTGTGTGTGTTAAGTTTGGAATAAAGCTGAAGAGGAGCAGAGGAAGGCCACAAAAAACTTAAAGCACCACTTAAATAAAGTTGGAAAATGTGTGGACCCTTTCAAGTCATTTCACACAGTACATGAACGCAGCATTAACGTAAGTGGGCCTGATCAAAGAGCTGTTCAATGAAATAGACAAGGCAGTTGTTCTTAGTGTGTGTGTGTGTGTGTGTGTGTGTGTGTGTGCGCGCTAAACTCATGAATTTTCTTCAGACTCTTTGATATATTTTTGTCACTCTTTGATACTTAAATTTACCCATGATTGCACCTTAAATAAATTAATCCCAGCATTTATTTTAACCCTGTCAGTGTTCATTAGCACTCACAGCGTGATGCTAATTGTGCCTTTAACCACTGTTCTCCAGCAGGTGCTCGTGAGTCATCCGTGGTGGATCTCATTGCTCCTCTAACATTGTTGTTAACCCCCACCATCTGCTGTCACATGTGTTTATCAGCACTCTCTAATCTTTATCTCTTCCTCCGTCAGGTGTTCCGCTCCAAGCTGGACAGTGATCAGCCTAAATCAGCCTCTGGATCCCCTCTGCAGCACGGAGCAGCAACACTGGGACGCAACTCAAGCCCAAAGGTAAACGGGTCGTTCATTTCCAGCTGATGTAGTGATACAGCCATCGACTTCTAATGTAGTCTTAAATCTTCATCTTCTTCCGCTTGAAACCCAGATCATTATTCAGAGCCTATGTTTGTCTTACTTGTGTGTTAATCTTTGACTTGTAAGACATGTTGTGTCTGCTCCCTGTGACCCTGCAGAGCCCCCTGCTGGCGGCCAACAGCACTGGCAGTCTGCCCAGGAACCTGGCTGCAACCCTGCAGAACATCGAGACCAAGAGACAGCTGGCTCTGCAGCAGAAAGGTAACTGAGGCCTCTGAGCTCCACTCCACACACAACATCATCACGCAACAGTGCTCATTAATTATCAATTAACGTTTCAGTCACAGCATCAATAAGAACTCTACATGTTTACTCAATAATGGTAAATGATTTGTTGACAGTAAATCAGTCCTTAGTACATAATGCTACAGGTATTCATACCTTAAATAATCACTGTGGTGTGATGAGAGGACAGGACACGATTCAATCCCTGTTTCATGTACTTGGTCACAGACGTGCAACTGTTGACTATGGTACACTGCTTCATTTACTATCAATAAATGTTATTTATATAACACAGTTTATGCATTTAAGGTCGCCTCAAGTGCATTCCCCAAAAAGAGGACAGAAAATAAAAAAGAAAGAGCCGTTTACAGCAGCAGCAGATGTTCACAAGCCCGAGGAGCACACATTAATATTATACTCAGCAGGCTGTTGGACGGGGCACAAGAGAGCATGTGTCCCCCTTGTTAGAAAAATGACCAATCTGTGTCCCCCTTTAACCTCCATTACTCTCCATCCCCAGGGTCTGCACCCAGACGCTGTCCTATCTGGAGTAATAACAGATAAATCATTGACAGTTCTACATCCTGATGGAGTGTTTCTGTTGTAACTGGTGCAGCATTTGTGTCACTGGCTAAGCAACCAGGAAACTAACTGACCGTTGTGTTAAAAAGCCAGTCAACAAAAGTTCTGCGGGCGCAGATTCTGTATGAGCCTGCTCATCATATGCTCTGAGACCGATTAATAAAAGAGACACAGAGGCACAGAGTTTCTTTTGAGCAAACATACCCATTCAAATCCAAACTGAGGAACATAAAATATTTTATATGGCACTGAATCATTGAATCACAAAACAAGTTACGCATCAGTTGGGAGGGGAGTTTGGGGGGTTGTCTGCTGGTTATACTTGTATGTGCGAAGTCATTAGACTTTAAAACAGTGTTCTAGCATCTTCTAATGATGAGTAAACTCTGCAGTAGACAAACTGATGAATATATATTCAGCAGTAATTAGTGTGCTTGCCTTCAGTGCTGCACACTCTTATTCTCATTAACTTGTTAGTGTTGGTTATTGTAAAGTGTTACCCTGCTCTCCTCTACACGTCTGGCATCAGTGAGCTTCACAGAGTCGTGTTGTTTGACTCAGTGGTTCAGAGGAGAGCAGTCTGGTGTTTTAGCTCAGGGTGCTGGGTCGGAAACCGGATACAGTCACATTCATGAGCGTCTGCAGTTCTTCATGTCTCCCTGTCTGTCTCTGTCTCTGTCCTGCTCTGCTGCACCACAGAGCCCCAGACCTCCAGACACATCACCATAGATGGAAGCTCAGCAGGTAGATGGATCGCTGCGTCCAGGAGTTGATGATTTCTTACGCTTTCTTCAGTTTGTGCAGCGGGACTCATCCTGTTGGTTCATCCTCTGTCTCTCCATACGTCGCACGCAGTGTCTGAGAGTAACTGTTTGTCTCTACTGCCAAGGGCCAACACAAAACTTCAGAGAATCTTTCAAATGCGTGAATCACTTAGATGTAGTTAAACCTACTAATAGAGTTCACCAAAACGGTGATTTACCATTCAGAAAAGTTACTTTTAAAGGAATACTTCACTCTCCAAATGACCATACTAATATGTGTATCTAAAGCCCAGTTCAGACCAAAGGTTCACGACGAGATGAAACTGTTTCAGAACGCTGCAGAGAAAAGTTGCAGCGGTGGGAACTGGCCGTCTGAGCTCAACGCAAGCCGGCTTATGGTGTCACCTGCAACTCAGCTGGTCACATCGCAGGTGTCTGGTTTTATGGTGCGTTCGTTTTGTACTTGGAGGTCAGAAATTCCCAGTTCCCAGTCGGAAGTTTAAACTCGAACGCACCCTGAGGTCAGATTTCCAACTCGGAAACTCGGAGCAACCGCATCAACCCCGACTTACGAATTCAAGATGGCTGCCGGTCACATACATAGTGAGTAAACACTCTGCTGAAGTACTGTTTATAGCAATTTTATCTTATTTGTTTCACATTAGGTCAGCCTCATCTGTGGCTTTCATCAGTTGGAGTGCATGATGTTTTTGAAGCTGTCTATACTCCGAAAGTGCAAGGGCAACAAAGGCTTTCTCGCGGGCGTCCATGTTTATTTCCGACTTGTCCACTGTTGTCAACTCGGAGGTGACGTCATTCCCACTTCCGACTTCTGACCTCCGAGTACAAAATGAAAGCAGTGTTAAAGCACGTCATCTGTTTCTACAGCCAATCAGCTTTAAGTGAAGTCCGCAGGTCAAGTCAAAATGACCGCAGACGGCGTGTTGGCTTGCTGCAGCAGGCTCTCCGTCCCCGTCGGGCCCTCTGTTTCTGTCCTCACGGTGTGCCGGTGTCGGACAGTGGGTCGCTGCTGCTGCTGGCTGTATGTGCTTATGCCCCGCCCACACACACACACACACACACACACACACACACACACATTCTCATTGATAAATGAATTGGCACTGGTTATTTATATTATTGTGGCGTATTGATTATGAATCCAGTCCATCTGATGCTGGTTTTGTTTCATCACTGTAGCCAGTATCTCACTATCACTATCCTCATTCAGATTTTAAGACGCTACAAATTATATTCAGCCACAAAATAAGTCTGAAAAGCTGCAAATCAGAACGGAAGTACAGAGAGTTGTTGACTAGAGATGATACACCGTCTCATCTAGTTGACTTGGTGTGAACTGGCGGGCTTTTAAAACGTTACAGAACTACACATTGCAAGTAGCTGCCTGTTTCAGTTGGTCTCGTCGCAAATCTTCGGTCTGAACTGGGCTTTAAGTACGGGAAGAACTCTGTTTTCGCGTGCCTTCTCTGTGAATGAAGAATCCAAAAACAGAGAAAAGTTGTGATGAATTGAAGTCATAGGGGTCCACTTTTAACAACAGCAAAACTACATCTGTTTACAAACTCTCATACAACTTGTGCAGAGTTATCCAAGTCTCATTTATCCAGTCGTATGCTTAGTATTTCCCAAACAGACAACGAACTGAACGGAAAGTGAATCTTATCTATGCTCTCTTCAAAGCCAGACTCCACTGGGAAAAAACAGTTATTTTACCTTGCTGAACACAGGAGTTGCTGGTCTACTGCTGCTTCAATCTGGTAGTTTGTTTGTGTTTATGTGTGACTTTGGTGAATCTGAACTAACCGTTTAAAACACCAAAGTCACACAACAACACAAACAAACTACAGATCAAAGCAGCGGAAGACCAGCAGCTCCTGTGATCAGCAAGGTAGAATAACTGCTTCTGTCAATGAAGTCTGGTTTTGAAGAGAGCACAAATAAATTTCAATTTCCATTCAGTTTACTGTCAAAAAGGGCTCTCTGGAAAGCACTGATCATACGACTGGATAAATGAGACTTGGATTACACCACATGAGTTGCGTGAGAGTTTGTAAACAAATGTTTTGATGTAGTTTTGCTGTTGTTAAAGGTGGACCCCTATGACTTCCATTTACAAAGCCATTATTCCATTTCTAAAATCTTTGTTCACCATAGAGGCATGCAGGAAAAACAATGTTTTCTTCCCAATTTCAATGTAACACAAGGTGAGTAACTGATACATAAATGGTCATTTGGGAGGTGAAGTGTTCCTTTAATCTGCCATATGGCTAATTAACCATGCAGACTAAAGAGAAGCAGAGCAGAGAGCATCGCAGGCAGCCAATCAGGACCCTGCTTCGACATAGCCGAGTACCAAAGTCTGTGTGCACCTAAAAGTTTCAAGTCTTATCCAAAACCTAAGCCGGTCTGGCAGCTTACTTTTATTGATTCATCCATCAAAGGTAACGTTTACCAGAACTTGACACTTGGCAGCTGTTAATTTCAGATCCTGTTTTCACCTAACCCTGCTCTCCTCATCCTCCCCTCTCAGTCTCTTCATCTCTGGTGTGTCATTAACTCTTCTCCCCCGAAGATTCCTTTTCATCTTTTCTTTTGTCTGTAACATCGAGCAGTCTTTCTTCTCCCATCAATCTTCTATGAATGTTCCTGCTGGTGGAGAATAAATCTTGCATGTTCAGCATTCACCGAGCTCCTCCTTCAGTTATCGACCTGGGCACTTCTTTTCAGATGTGTGTGTGCCCATTATCAGGTGCACAGCAGCATGGGTTTGAGAAGTGAGAAGTTGGATAGATACTGAAGTTTGTGGTGATGGGAATTTGCGGGGTATTTTTTGCAATTATCTTCCAGCTTGTGTTACAGAGAGAGCACATACTTGTATGTGTGGTGCATGGTTTATGGTCTGTAGTCTGTGGGCTGGTGCTGGTGATGGTTGTGCATTTAGTGGTTCTTCAGTTGGATGCTTGGGGTGACCTCCTCTACAGTGAGCATGTTGATTTAAGCGTGGTGATCTCCTGCTCTGTAGGAAACAAACGGACCTCTGCTGACTTGTTGATGGAGTAGTTTGCAGGTTGAGAGTTCCACCTTGGTTTAAAATCAGACCCTCCACTGATTGTCACCCACCCTTCTCCCTCCAGGTCAGCAGGTGATCGAAGAGCAGCGTCGACGTCTGGCCGAGCTCAAACAGAGAGCAGCGGTGGAGGCTCAGTGTCAGTGGGAGGCGCTCCACGGCTCGCAGCCCCACCTCATGACTTCGTCCTCCTCGTCGCCCTCCTACTCCCCGATCATGTCCTACAGCCCCGCGCTGAGCCACAGCTCCGCAGGCCCCGGCCCTCTGGTCCACCACTCCATCCTGCACCACCAGCCCCCGTCAGCCGGGGAGCAGCCCTACGACACCCTGAGCCTGGAGAGCTCTGACAGCATGGACACCAGCGTGTCCACGGGGAACAACTCGGCTTGCTCACCAGATAACATGTCCAGGTAACATGCTCTATTGTATAATCATCTTAATATATTAATATCTTTAATCTTTTACATCAATGTGTGCGTTGACCAAGTAAGGTAGAATAGAAAACAAGGGAATATGAAAACAATTTGCATTGGCTGGGTAACTTGAATCCCACTCACTGGCTTCACTTATAAACACAGACAGAGTCCAGATTTTACAGTTCAGAATTAGTATTGATTATAGGCAGGGGGTTACATCAAGGCAAGTGAATGTTATCCACAGGTAACAGGTGTAACAGGTATTGATGATTGATGACTGACATGACTGACAAATGGTTTCTGGAAAACAATAAAACAAAGAGGATGAAAGCAAAATGTGTTCACCATAGCCTTAATGGCACAGATGAATGACATCAACAATACAGTATTGAAAGGCTGGGAACGAGGTGCTAAAAATGCTTTAACAGGCGACAGTTGCCACGATTAACATTCATGAATATTAATTCACTGAACAAAGAACAAAAGACATCAGTAGCTGTGTCTCAATTCAGCGGCTGCAGCCTTCGACGGCTCCATTTGACGACCTACTGCGCCACATCGGCACGACCAAGGCTGTCTCATTTCAAAGGCTCCTTTAAATGGGGCCTTCTTTCCCAGAATTTGGAGGATGCAAAATATGAATCCTTAGTCTATCCCAAGATGCACTGTGCACTGTTGACAATTATATATTAAGTTAACTAACAGTTGTTAACATTACCAGCAGCTAAAAGCACACAGCTTAAACAATCTTAATTTAGAAAGTTTACCTGAAGGGGCGTCGGTGGCTTAGTGGTAGAGCAGGCGCCCCATGTACAAGGCTGTTGCCGCAGCGGCCCGGGCTCGACTCCAGCCTGTGGCCCTTTGCTGCATGTCACTCCCTCTCTCTCCCCCCTTCACGCATGTCCGTCCTATCCATTAAAGGCTAAAAATACCCGAAAATATCTTTAAAAAGTTTACCTGAAAACGTTCCTCCATCAGCCTGACAGGTACCAAACGGCGGTGTCTCTGTTGGTGAATCATCTCCTTTAGTATCAAATAAAAACAATATATAATAATCTCTGGGTCAAAGATTTGATTTTTACGATGCTTCCTCCTCATAGCTCTCTGTATTCAGTGCGCCCCGTGCATCCAGGAGACAGCCGTGGTCAGAGGAGACAGAGGGAATTCTTCACAATCATATTCACATTATCTTTAATCTCTTATGTCATTGTGTATGTTTAGCAAATTAGGCTCACTGTCCTCCGCTTGTTTAATTCCTTTACTGAGAGATTTATTCTTTATTTTTTGCTGTTATTAGATTGCATCATTTAATTGAGGGCCTGTGTTATTTGACACACGGGTGAATTCACCAAGAATGGATTCACAAAAGATAGTGCACTAATGGTATTATAAATATAAATGCATTTGTGCCAAGAACATCAGGCAGTGCTTTCAAATTACGATTCAGACCCTAACAAACACAGACAAACGCAGTCAGAAGACACTCAGACAGCTCTGCTGCTCCCACCAGGTAAAGTCTCTGTCCACAGGTCGGCTAATTTGTACCATCTGTTAATGTGGCCCAGCTGTGTGCTGCACTCCGACAGTGTTCACCACAGCATGCTCTCAGCTGCACCTATTGTTCAGACACCTTTTATTGCTCTCAGGAGTCAAATTATAAAAACAATTAGTCGTGTTTCTGAGCTGACTTTAATGGGACTTGTTCTGTAATGAACTTCACACCATGGAGACCTGAGGGAGGAACTGACAGTCTGACAGCAGCGTTTTTTGATTTTTTAATGAGTCGTCTTTCCACTTCCCAACAGGGTTATTATAGAAAACTGAAATGGAAAAATACTATCGTAAAATGAAAGTGAATAAAATAGATATTCTTTGAGAACTGAGACTGAAACGATGTTGCCTGGTGAAGTAACTAATGAATTAAAAATGAATGTAAATTAACTTTACAAAGTTTTAGTGTTTTAGCTATAATATATTCCTAATGAATAAAAGGAGGCAGCCTGAAGTCCCATCAGCTCTTGTGATATTAAACCACAGAAACTGAATGGACTTAGATTCCAGGAGTTGATGCCATGACGCAATTGCATCGCATTGGACATGAAAAGTACTGCTGCTCTCCCTGCCTTAGGCTTTCCATGTAGGTGCATGGAAGGGCAGGGAGGTTTGCTGTCTCCTCCATAGGCTTCTCTGTATGTGTGTGGAAGGGCAGGGAGGTTTGCTGTCTCCTCCATAGGCTTCTCTGTATGTGTGTGGAAGGGCAGGGAGGTTTGCTGTCTCCACCATAGGCTTCTCTGTATGTGTGTGTAAGGGCAGAGAGGTGTGCTTTCTCCTCCTAAGGCTTTCTGTATAGGTCTAAGAAAGGTTAGAGAGGCCCCAAAACAGAGCCATACCACCAAATATAATCCTGCAAATGGAAGCTAAGTTTTCTTTTGACTAAAGTAACTGAACTAAAACTAGGAAACATGCTGTGAAAACTAAGACTTAACTTAAATGAAATCAATAGCAACTGTGGTCAAAGAGAGAATTAGGCAGTTAAGAAAATACACAAGACATTGTTGGGTTGGTGAACACAGAGACAGACAGAAGACATCTTTATTTCATCACATTTCCACCTGCTGATCCTCACAGATACATTTTTTTAAATCATTTACCTGCCAGAAGCGTTTATCCGCTGCTGCTGCTGCTGCCGCTGCCGCTGCCGCTGCCGCACTGATTTCCTTCAGTAAAGTGATTCATTAAAAGGTTTAATTGTCATTATCAGTGTTGTTGTTCTCTGGGATTTCAAGTGTGTTTTGACTGTTTTCTTCCTCACTTTTACACGTCTGGAGTAAACACTGAAACACAAGGCTGCCCTCGGATCTGTAGGGAAATGAATTCACAAATACTGTCTGCTTAATTGCCCTACAGATATTGTTTGAACCCTGCTTTGAAGTGAAAGGTTAACTGAGTTGATGTGCTGCTACGTAGCTGTTAGATGTACGAGTCGTTGCTCTGGATCTGAACGTGTCGGCCTGTATGTTGTGTGGTAACACCGTGTCTTTGCATTTCAGCGTCGGAGGAGTGGACGCGCTGAAGATTGAGGAGATGGAGAAAATGCTGAAGGAGGCGCAGCTGGAGAAAGCCAGACTTATTGAATCGCGGGTAAGACTTCAAAAGAAGACAGTGTTACAGTACGAGAAGCTGATTATTCGGAATCCATAGCTACAGTAGTGACTGATGAGAGGTCCTGTGGTGCTTCTGTCAATAGCTTTGAATTGATCATGAATTTGGAACAAAAGCAACTCAGGGCTCTCATTCATTTTTATTGGCCTCTGTGTTTCAAACATTTTTATGTCTTTGTGTCCTGATGAAGAAGCTTCGACTGCAAAGATCAAATCAATTCTCTACTCTACTTGAAGCTGTACTTCTTATCACTGAGCATCACTCCTGAACTCCTTTAGAAAATTTCACAATATGAATGAAGCTCCTTTTAACAAGTTCTATGTATTAGGTCAGTTGTTTGGAGTGACGGGGTAACAGACTTGTTTCCCATAATAACTCCTTTCAGACAGATCTGATTATGAATTTGTTAAAACATTAAGGAATTTTATAAAGTTACGTCAAAGATGTGGGTTCATGATAATGCCCGTATTTACTGGTGAAAAGGGATCTCTAGGGAGACATGAGCGAGGACACACAAGATGAAACCTCAACAAATTCTTTAATGGAGTAATGTTACAGCCTAAAGGCCTTTCCACACAAAGTCTGTATTTTTCATATGCGTTTTTTAATAGAAGAAGATATACTTTATTAATTCTTGAGGGGAAAATTAATTTTTTTCCACTCTGCTACACACAGGCCCAAAATACATACGATATCTCAAGAACACCTTGAGGGAATTTCTTCAAATTTGGCCCAAACGTCCACTTGGTCTCACGAGTGAACTGATAAGAATTGATGGTTAAAGGTCACTGTGCATCCGTCTCATTCTCATGGCCGCCATATCTCAAAAATGCCTTGAGGGGAAATGTATTTATTTATTTATTTTTTTTAAATTTGGCACAAACGTCCACTTGGACTGAGGAATGAACTGATTCGAATTTGCTTGGTCAAGGGTCAAAGATCACCTGTGACATCATAATGCTCTGCAAAAACACTTTTCTTGCCATCACAATTAGGGAGAAAATAGAAAGACGTGTCCTGTTTTGAAAACTTCAATGATAGACAAAAGTTTTGAAGTCAGTATGTGAACATGATTGACACAATCTGAGGCCGTATTTATTATTAAATGTGTGATAAATTATGGACCAACCCCCCCCCCCCCCAAAAAAAAACAACAACAACAAAATAAACAAAAAAACAAGGTCTTGACCTTTATTTATTGATTTTTTTATATTTTTTTACATTTTATTGTTGTAATTTTTTGTCTTACAAAATGTAATTTAATTAATTTATTTTTAATTTAATTTATTTTATGCTTCAGTTTTGGTACGTGCAGAACTCTGGGCTGCATCTTTGTGTGAGAGGTGTAACATGAAGTTGAGTTTGAGTTTAACTGAACTGACACACCTCTTTATTGGAAATCTGTTGTCGATGCTGATCTGTCTGCTCTGATACCACATCACATCACTGGAGCTTCACACCAACAGACAAATAACAAAACCAACTCAAGTAAAACACAGCTCACTTCTCCAAGGACATGTTTTCTCAAACCTCTTCTCCTCACATGTTTTGTTTACACCTCTTCCTCGTGTCTTCAGTGGGGGTGACTCAGATGTAAGGATGAGATACAAGTGAGGGAAGTGTGGATGTAAATAAGGGAACAGTGTGCACCCTTCAGAATATTTTACCCGCTCAGGGTCTGAGGACCAAAACATTGTTGTACCAGTGTGCAGGATGTGTTGCTGTCAGGATTTTATAAAAGACAAAGATACTTTAAGCACAGTGTGTTTTATTTGTATTTCCCCCTCCTGGTTGCCTTCTGCATGTTGTGTTTTCTTTAGGGCCTCTGCATGTCTGGTTGAATGCACTGTATATGAATGTGTGTGTTTGCCGTCTACACAGTGGATTATTACTTCTCCACATAGCCAAAAGCGGTTTGTTTAAAGAATCGATCAGTGTGGTGGAGCTGCACGGTGGCCAGCAGCTCTCAGCAGAGACAAATGAACATGAATGTATGAATGTGAAGCCGAAATCCTGCTGAAAAAAAGAAGCATGCATGCTCTGCAGAGCCTTTCCACAGATCAAAACAAATATTAAATGAAAGCTCTCTCCTCCAGGAACGAGAGAGCCTGGCTCGTCGTCAGATGCTGGAGGAGGAGAGGAGGAGGAGGGAGGAGGCGGAGAAGAGACTGCAAGACGAAACTTTCCACCGGCAGCAGCTCGTGGAGAAGGAGGTCAAGATGAGGGCCAAGAACTTCTCTCAGGTCAGTAAAATGACACATAATTGAGTCTGCATGGTGGAAAAGTGGAAAATGAGTCTGCCGACCCGACTCTGACAGCAAAGCTTCTGCTTGGTTATATTTTGTGCCAGTATTCAATATCATTCAATTTGACCATTTTCATACCAAAGTAAACTTATTTCCAGTTTTGCTTCAGAATTGAAACACGTATAAGAGCATTTACACCATCACAGGACGCTCAGTCTCTTCATGGACCAGAAAAAGATGTGAAAAATAAGACGTCTTTACACATGTGTGCAGAATATCAGAATATTCCATCATTTTAAAATGAACACTGTAATGATACGTCCTCCTGCTTGATGTTTATCTTCCTGTTTTTGTCCGATGCTTTGCTCTGCCCAGGCCCGTCCTATGACTCGCTACCTGCCCATCCGGAAGGAGGAGTTCGACCTGCGTTCCCACGTTGAGTCGTCGGGCCACAACGTGGAGACGTGCTATCATGTCATCCTCACGGAGAAGATGTGTAAGGGCTACCTAGTGAAGATGGGAGGCAAGATCAAGTCCTGGAAGAAACGCTGGTTCGTCTTCGACCGTCTCAAGAGGACCTTCTCCTACTATGTCGGTAAGAGGCGTTGAGACACAATGTTTTTTGAATGTTTGGTGCTGCAGGGTTGTTACGGTTACAGTTTTACGATGCGCGTCCCAGAGTAGTTTGAGTAGTCATTTTTTTGAGTTCAGCTCTAGGTAAAAGAAGGACATACATGTTGGATGATAAATATATCAAAATAAAATGAGAATTATAATGACTTTATTAAACATTTTAACATTTTAATCATCTGACTAATCATCTCACTGTCAGACCAGTCTATTTGGAAAAGTTTCTCAGAGATTATTCCATGGAGAACACAGTCCCCATTCTTGCAGCCTTTTCTCTCCTAAAGTCAAACTTATACACACTTATATTAAAGCACAGCCAGATTCACAAGTGTGCGTAGCATATCCATCAGTCACAGCCTCTCCTGTCAGACTGCTGAAGCGCTCAGAATGAATTTCTCTGTTTGAGCTCTTCAACATGACACTCTGTGACGCTGGTAATTGGGCTGTTTGACAGATGATTTGCTCTCCGGTTTGTTTTTTTACAGTAAAGACGACATTTTCACTGGTCAGGAGTTGATTTCCTCTGCGGCAGCAAATCACATCACCAGCCCTCAGACACTGCTGCAGGTTAAACCAGGCTGTCTGAACACTCTCAGGGATGATTAACTGCAACAGGGACACTGTTAACTTAGCTTAGCAACATTAAGGCTACAAACAACCCATAATGCAACACTCTCTGAAGGAGCTGATGTTACACCAGTCCTGTCTTCACTCATAAAGAATATCTGATGTTGTGAATACATTAATGTGTGTAGTTCTTACATTGATATGACACCTTTTCAAGATTGATCTCAAGAAAAAAAAATGCTCCTATATTCAGACCAATACGGTAAATACTGCATTTTATTGGCTGTGAATTTGAAAACACACACAAATAGAAAAGGCTCCTTTACTTTGTTCCTCTTTTGTGGAGTGTGGAGATGGAGGGCTTCCTGCCATATACGTAATAAAGGTGTGTTGACAGAATAAAAGCAACACACAGAATGCAATTTAACATAACAACAGTGTTTCTCAAATATGGGTACGGGATTTTTTTCTTTTAATGTTATTGGTATAATTCCTAAACAAATTATACTATAATAAGTTCAATTAAAAAAATGTGAATGTGAGTTCAAGGAGGTTCATTATTGAAAAACGTTTGAGAACCACTGTTCTAGAAAGTAGTGTTTATGGTGTTGGATTTAAGGCCCAGACATACAGAACCGACTAGCGGCAACAATGGCCCTATGTTGGGCACCCTGACGTTGCTGTGTCTCGACCAAAAAGTTGCACATGAACACTCCACAAAGACTACAGCTGACATGCAACCAGTACGTACCTTCTGCACCTGCATGAGGGGAAATATCACTCCACACCAGCAGATGGTAGCAGTCTGAGATTGTCATTCAAAAAGGAAATCTGCAAGACCTTCTTATCACTAGTTAGCCAGTTAACAACACAATCCAATGTTGAAAGAACAGAGTATATTTATTGTGCGGCAATGAACAATAACACAAAGGAATGTTTCTGCTAATGAGCTTATAAGGTTTACAAGTTAAGTTAATTCATGTGTTTTAGTAATTTGCTAAAAATATATTTACAGTTAGCTATAAACAGTTTTATGTTCATAATTATTATTTACATGTTAAAAATTCGCAGCAGCATTGTTAAAAACAGTTAAATAATTTACTGGATCTGCCTCAGTAATTCTCACACACATTTACCTCAGTCTAAGTCCGTCCAGCTTCTCATTGGTTAGTGAAGAGACATGTGACCCATAACAAGGAAATGTAACCAGGAAATGTTGAAGAAGTGTGGAGAACAGTAAAGTGCTGCGTAAGCAACTGTGCGGGACACACCTCACCGATGGCCAACCATCAGCTTGGTGTGTCAGGGCCTTTAAGGATGATTAATTGACGATTGATCAGTAGGTCGTTCAGAATTTGTTTGAGCATGGGAAACTTAACCGATCAAATAAAGATCTGATTCTGAAGTATAAACAATGTGAAGTCTCCTCTTACATTCTAGCCATCAGCAGAGCGGTGCATGGCTGCGACATTAGAAATGAAGCGAGCAAAGCGAAGCATTATTCAACTAGAGCACTCGGAGAGCTCTGACCTCTGCCAAGCAGCTCGGATTTCCCGCCATTTTATTATTTTATCCGCTTCACTTCAACCGATCACCACCAAAACTTTATCATCTGCTCCTTGTCCCATTATCAACCCTTCATCAAAATTTGTTCAGAACTTTTCGAGTTATTTTGCAGATAAACAGACAAACAGACCAACGCCAGCGAAAACATAACCTCCTTGGCGGAGGTAATAATTATATTTAATGTGATTAATCTGTTTAGGCCTCGCCATCTTTATATGTTTCATAGGCAAAACAAAACTGTTGGAGAATATGTGACATGTTGATGAGAGCTTTGATTGAAGAAAAAACGCATTTGGTATATAGTGTAAGAATATATGTATGTTTTTTATTCACAATAAATCAGTTTATTTAATGTTAATGTTACAAATCATTTATTAAGGAAAGTCCTTATGATTTACAGCACTATTTGGATTGTATTCAGCGGTGGAGGAGGAACTCAGATCCTTTTTTACTTACACTGCAATATATGAATACCTTATAGTGACGTAAAGTCCTGTATTGAAAAAGTCACCTCAGCAAAATGTACTTAACCCTAATGTACAAAATGTCTTCTGTCAGTGTTTTATTATCATTATTGTTATTAATATATTATCACAGTATATATTTGATTTTTAACACTGATGCCTTAATTTGTGCCATGGCTTTGCAACCCTCGTGTGTGTGATGGAAGACTGTGTGTGGGGAAGCCCAGGTTTTTTCCATCAACTGTATGAAAATATATATCAGAGGTCACAGCTGAAAAATGGTAAAGCAGCAGCGTTAAGCTTCAACATTTAACATGTAAAGTGGCAGAAATTTGCCGGCGTGGATGAGTGACAGACAGAACGTGCGTCCTCCAGACCTTGAGCAGCAGCAGTACATGTAGTATGTAGCCTGCACGGTCGTGTAATTTGATCTTGTGCTGCGAGCCCTGGGACACTTGCTCGCTGTCAGGCCTTTGAAGTCCTCAGAAGGTTCTGCTTAAAGCTGCTTAAAGCGTACCTTGTTGAAAGTGAGCCAGGGTGAGGAGGTGTACTGAGATTACTTTGGCAGTAGTTAAAATGCGCACAGCGCTGCGCTCTCTGAGGAGGCTTATTGAGATGCACCGCTTGCCCTTGTCTCTTGACCTTGAACAATGGGGAAAGGAGAGGTGACGAGCATAAGTCATGAGTGCCGCTAATCCACGTTAATCAACCTCAGCCACAACCGGAGTTTTGGTAATTTAGATGCAGTCAAATGAGATGCAAATGCAGGGCTATTTGAATGCTAAAGAGGTCATTAGCAGATAATAGCTGCGTATTAAAAGGAAAGTGTTATTCCTCGAAATGAAGCGCTGCGTTTCTACCTACTACTCTTAAGTTGGCTTGTGGAGTGTTTGTGCCTGGAGGTAGAGAGGGGTGTTGAGTTCCCCACCGGTTCCTCACTGCAGTTCTGCAGTGGCTGATGAAACAAACTGCAATGATGTACCAGAGTAGCGTAAGAATGCAGTCAAGTCTGAAAATACAATGAGAGCGCCATTGGTTTTAAAAACAGAGGAAAAAGTGCTGTGGTTGTCTTTTTCCATCCATCATCGCAAACCATAAATTGGTCATGATCAAAGTTTGATTTCTGCTCCTTTTTTTTTTAATGACCGTATCGCGTGTTCCCCGTCGTTATTCTAGGTGACATTGAAGCGATGCGTCTGTCTTTGTCAATATATTTTAGTCTCTGACCAAACCCACGTTATTTTTCCCTCCCACAGACAAACATGAGACCAAGCTGAAGGGTGTGATCTACTTCCAGGCAATAGAAGAGGTCTATTACGATCACCTCCGCAGTGCCACTAAGGTACGTCGTCACTGGACTTTGAAAACACTCGTTTTCTCTCATCTGTTTCTCAGTTTGTTTATCTTCATCCTGCATTCTCTTTCATTTAAAACATGTCTCTGCACACTCTCTGCTTTGCTTCTTTTCTCCCTGTTTGTGCTGTTGCTTTGGCCGGCTGCTGTTACAGAAGGGATTTTTCAACTTGAATTTGACCAGTGTATGTATCACGCTCCCAGTTCTCCCAGTTCTCCCAGTTCTCCCATCTAACCTCACTGAACCCTGTGTGTCCAAACCATAGACTGTGTATTGTGAGGAGGGGTAACAAGCTCAGTGGTTGGTGATGCATGGTTAAGACAGTGCACCAGTTTGATTCTTGTGTGAGTTTGTAATTTGAATTGCTAATCCTGCTTGATCCCCCCGTCCATCCCAGTGTTCCCAGTATAAACCAGTCAAGTGGTTAGAAAACAAGAAGCTGCTTATGTAGATGTGTCTGTGAAGGAGAGGAAGTGCCCTTGATTCTTTTTACTCTGCCTCCACACTGGTGATAGTCGTGGCCGGTGACATTATGATTTTGGTTCGTCCATCTCTCCATCTGTCCGTCCCATTTTCGTGAACGTGATATCTCAAGAATGTCTTGAGGGAGTTTTCTTTAAATTTGGCACAAACTTTCCCTTGACTCAAGGAAGAACTGATTACATTTTGGTGGTCAGAGGTCAAAAATCAAGATCAAAAGTCAGACTTTGCACCTGTCTCCTTCTTGTAAATGTGATATCTCAAGAACTCTGAGAGAATTTCTTCAAATTTGACACAAACGTCCACTTTGAGTCAAGGTTGAACTGATTTAAATTTGGTGGTCAAAGTCACTGTGACTTCACCCGTGGCATTCTCATGTACACGATATCTCAAGAACACCTTCAGGGAATTTCTTCAAATTTGGCACAAATATTTACTTGGACTCAAGGATGAACTAATTTGATTTTAGTGGTCAAAGGTCAAAAGTCAAAGGTCACTGTGACCTCACAAAACATGTTTTTGGCCATATTTAGGAATTCATGCGCTAAATATGACAAAATTTAACACAAATGTCTAACAGGATAAAATAATGAAGTGATGACATGTTATATCCAAAAGGTCAAAGGTCAATTTCACTGTGACATCATAATATTCTGCATAAAACTCTTTTCTGGCCATAACTCAGGAACAGAAGGGGAGACATTTGATCAATGGACCCAACTCTACTTATGCCTCCGTGCCATTGACATTGACTTTCAAGGTCAAGGTCACTATGACCTAACAAAACATGCTTTTGGCTATAATTTAGGAATTAATGCGCTGACTATGACAAAATTTACACAAATGTCTAATAGGATAACATGATGAAGTGTTAGGTCACAGACCTTTTTGGCCACACAAAATGTCACGCAAACATCTATTATTGATGAAGTGCTGACATTTTATATCCAAAAGGTCAAAGGTCAACTTCACTGTGACCTCATAATGTTCTGCAAAAACACTTTTCTGGCCATTACTCAAGGTCACATCTCAGGTACAGAAGGGGAGGCATTTGGTCAGACACTGAATTGGTGACTCTAATCCTGGGTGTCCATCTTGAAACTGTGCTGATTGTATAGATCCTCTGTGCTGCCGGGGGAAGATGTGTGTGGGACATCCATGTTTTCATAGACATGGATGTAAACATTAAGTGCAACATGATTGCTGTGCGGAGGCAAACAACTGCTAGGCTGTAATTGTATGACTGGTTCAAGCCCTTCTCTCCTTTAACTAATTTTCAAAGACCCCTCTCTGCTGAGGAAGTGTTAATGTCCCGTAGAGCCGTAGGTGTAATTTTTGGCCATATTTCTGTTCTTTATGATTCGGGGCTGCGTGCCGCTTGTCTTGAGCCTCACACGTCTTGTCATTTTTTTTTTTTATCTCCAACATAAAGCCGAGCTGCTGCTGCCTCCTCATCTTCAGTGTGTGTGTTTGTGTTTGATGGCCTGTCGCAATGCTCCGCACTCTGACTTACTGTGGGGCTCTGATCAACTCTGGAACTTTGATTTTACTTGTCACATCCAATGTCACATTACAGAGCAAAAACTTTAAAGTCTGATGCACTTAGCAGACAGAAGGATGACGGTTTAGAAAAGGAAAAGTGATGCAGATGAGTGGGTGAAATACATTGTACAGTAGTCTGCAGGGTTGCTCTTCCAAAAACAACGATTTCTTGAGGAAAACACCCGCAAGAGTCATTTTTTCATGTTTTGTTTTGTTTTTTTATGGGCTGATGTCATTTCCATATTTTCATGAAATTTGTGCAGATCAGGAGTAGACTGCTGTGTTATTGATAAACTAGTTTATTGACAGTGCCTGTATTTTTTAATTAGTGCTCCAGATAGTATTTTGTGCTGAATTCAACACCTTAATTTCAGGTATTCATTGCTCCTCTTTGTATTTCCTAGGGTCAAACTATCACCAGTTTGTGCATCTCATATATTACCTTTACATTTCAGTCATAGAGCTAAGCAGTTCTTTTTATAAATACCAGGGGTCTCATTTATAAAACAGTACTTAGGATCCATACTAAAAATGTATGTACAGACAAAAGCCAAAAAGCCATTATATAACACTATTTTAACAAGCAGGCTTTCGCCTCACCATCTGCATCACATCTGATTTTCCTTCTCCAAAATGTTGGGGGAAATTTCTTAAATTTAGCACAAATGTCCACTTGTACTCTGCATTCACTGATTAAATTTTGGTGGTCATTGGTCAAAGATCACTGTCACTGTGACCTCATCTGTCATTCTTGTGAACCGAATATCTCAAGACCACATGGAGAAGATTTTTTCAGATTTGGCTCAAATGCTCACTTGGACCCAAAGATGAACTGGATTTTAGTGTTCCAAGGTCACTGTGGCCTTGCATCCATCTCATTTTCATTAATGCAATATCTCAAGAATACTTTGAGAGAATTTCTTCACATTTGGTACATACGTCCACTTGGACTCAAGAATGAACTTGTTTGAATTCGGTATTTAAAGGCCAAAGATCAAGGTCACTGTGACCTCATCTCTCATCCTTGTGAACCCAGTATCTCAAGAATATGTCAAGGGATTTTCTTTCAATTTGGCACAAATGCTAACTTGGACCCACCAATGAACTGATTAGTTGCTGGTGGTCAAAGGTCAAGGTTGAGGTCACTGTGACCTCATCCATCTCATTCACAGAAAAAATATGTTAGTGAAATTTCTTAAATTTAGCACAAAAGTCCGCTTGGACTTAACAACAAAGTGATTAGATAGTGGTGGTCCAAGGTCAAGGTCACTGTGACCTTGCATCTCTCTCATTTTCACGAATGCAGTTTCTTCAAGAAGATGTTAAGAGAATTTCCTCACATTTGGTACATGCGTCCACTTGGACTCAAGAATGAACTTTTTCGAATTTGGTGGTTAAAGGTCAAAGATCAAGGTCACTGTGACCTCATCTGTCTCTTTCTCATGAATGCTGTATCTTAAGAACACACTGGGGAAATTTAGCACAAACTTAACAATAAAATGATTAGATTGTAGTGGTCCAGGGTCAAGGTCACTGTGACCTTGCTTCCATCTCATTTTCATAGAGAAAATATCTCAAGAGGACTTTGAGGGAGTTTCCTTAAATTTGGTACAAAGTATGATCTTACTAGAATTTGGTGGTTGAAGGTCAAAGTTCAACTCTAGTTTTCTCTTTGTTCTTCCAGAGCCCGAACCCCGCCCTGACCTTCTGCGTAAAGACCCACGACCGGCTCTACTACATGGTGGCCCCCGCAGCAGAGGCCATGAGGATCTGGATGGATGTGATCGTCACAGGAGCAGAGGGATACACACAGTTCATGAACTGAGAGACACCCAGCAGCACAGGGAGCGCAGGTGACGAGCAGATAGTTTCGGCAGGGACTCTCCCATCACAGACTCTACAGGCCCTTCCTGTTTCCAGTCCACAGCGGACACAACGCCTTGTTTGTTACTTTTCATTTTTAATCTCACACTTTTGATTTTACTATGTAGATGTTTTCACCTCTGCATTTTCTACGTGATTCAGTTTGGATTGAAAAAGGGAGCCCTTGGAGGACATAAACACTTACACACACACACATCTGTATATAAACCAAAATGTATACCTGTCAAAGACTTTTAAAAAGCCTTTCTATATTGCCAAATGGAGATCTTGTAGTTACTGTTTGTTGAACCTTTTATATTATTTGTTTCCTTTCTTTCTCTCGTTTTTTTTACTTGTAGAGAAAATTGCCAAATGACATAATGCCAATGTTTTGTTTGAGTGTTCCATCATGACTATGCTCAGTTTAGACAGAGAGTATAAAAGAATCTTCAATCTGAGGGTTAATCAATTTATAAATATATTTGAAAGAATCTTATTCAAAATGTATGAATCTATGAGAAGTAATAGAAATGAGTCAACAGGGACTGGACGTGATCGAAGAGTCCAGCACACTTGTCTGTAACAGTGAAACACAGTAAAACATTGCATCCTCTACAAGTCACGTCACCTCAGTGCTGCTCGTAGACTCAACACTAACACTAAATCACGTGCAGCATCTGCAGCAGATTAAAGTGTCCACAGCTACGTCCTCGTCACATTACTTCACATAGGCTTACCAAAGTTATTGTAGGTATTTTGTTAAGACTTTGACCCACTACAGCTCAGGAGTTCACGCTGCAGTTCTCACTATGGTTCAACCAATATGGGGTTTCAGAAGCCGGTACTGGTATCACTATTGAAGCCGTGCGATAGTTGGTATATTTCAATCTTACAAAAAAGCCCCACCAAACCCAGAATAATAAAATTCTTTATTGACTGGCACTTCAGTTTGACATCGTGGGACATCAGCTTATTTGCATCTCCAAAGCTTTCAAAGAATTGAAGAATATCAAACTGTTCCTTTAAGGAAATTGATTGCCAGTGGCAGTTTCTCGCTTGGTGCATACGCCAAAAACAAGTTTCTAGCTTCCGGGTTTACTTCTGTGGTATGCAGCCCACTGAATATGAGCAGTGTTACTTCTGCTGGCCCCGCCCAGCTCACAGACTTTACACTGTGATGACATCACAGTTTTTTAAATCACTTCTCAGCTTGAGGAAAGTTTTACAAATTTAAAACCTCCATGGATCAAAAATTCATAGCAGAAAGAGTCATAAATGACCTGGTTTGCAGTTCGACGCTTTCAGAGATGTCTCTTTTCTAATGGTGGTCTATGGGGAAAATGATTTTTGGGGAGCAGGGGATTTTTGCTGCAATGGCCACTGGGAAAAAATTGGAAGCAAGGCTGAGCAACGTTCCTGATGCCCTAAGAACAATGTGAAACAAGGGGCCACTAGTTGCAATCAGGACTCAGGACTTAAGTGCATGGGGAACCCCAACATTTGGCAATCAATTGCTTTCTTACTGAAGTTAGATGATACCAGTCTTGGATATTGCAAGTGGTATCAATCTTCTCATCTAACACTTGCCAAGAAAGCAGTCTTGAACTCAAAGAATGAAGCTAGAGCCTGTTTGCTTAGCTTAGCATTAAGACTGAAAGCAGTGGTCAAGATCGCCGGCCCAACCAAGAAGAAGTTCCAGCACACAAACAACTTGTTTTTACATTTCGTTTTTTTGGTCGGTTAAAACAAATTAGATTTAACGTTTTCATTGGAGAGCTTGAGTGTTGGTAAGCAGATGTTTTGCCTGACAGAGTCAGGCTAGCTGTTTCTCCGTTTCCAGCCTTTATGCTAAGCTAAGCTAACTGTCTTTTGGCTCTAGTTTAATATTTAGCTTGTATAATAGACTTCGAAGCAAATTTTCAAAGTGGCCAAACCATGCAATTTCAACATTGAGGTCTGTCACATGATGCCATTTGGCCCTAAAAGACTTTTTCCATAGACTTAAATTGGGAAAGAGATGTCAGTAAATTAGTAGATACATTTTTTTCTTGAGAATCAACAACCGTGAAATGACTCGTTTCAATATCAGGATTTGATCCATTTGGTGCGATTACATTAAAAAGGTCTAGAAGAGATATACAATGAAGTAATTTAATCCCTATTCTGGGTAGCGGAATGCTAAACCAGAAGTTAGCCGCTTGCACGCAGAAGTCTGTAATGCAGTTGCTCTATGGGCACAATGATGTGGAATATCTGGGTGAACTTTTTTGGCTTCATGCACCACTGACCAATCTTCATAGGAATGTACGGGACTCACTGTATCCAGTTAAATTTATGCATCAGTGCTGTTATAGAGCTGTTATGTCGTCCAGCTTTACACAGTTTAGATGCCTTTCAACAGAGCCAGGCTCTTTGACTTCACCCGCTAGTGCCATCTATTGGTGTATCTATGCCCAAATAAAGGACGCATGGAAGTATGAGGGCAGTGACGTTTACAACGTTTGACATGGACGAATCTATTTTCGGATGTAAAGGAAGTCTAAATGAGCCCCAAGCCAACTGACTCCTGGCCCTAGCTTTGTATTTAGTATACAGACAGGAAGTAAATAACTGTTGAATCTCCCTAATCTCCCTAATTCTTCAAAGGAAAAGGCACTTCATGAATCACTTCTTTGGCTGCTTTGGAGCTGAATTTTCCCCTTTAGTTGGGATGGTTGGTTTTGGTCTTGGTGGGATCGGCTCAGACGTTGAGTCCCAATAACCCCCGTCTATTGGTCTATCCATAGCTGTGGCGTTCTCAGTGTACTTGTGAATATGTTGAACGTATCTCACTGTGTCTGTATGCCAACTCAAGGTGTCCATGTATGCACTCGTACAAACAGAGAAAGCTCGTCTATTTGCCAAGTAGCCTTTAGCTAACTTGATGATGCGACTACACAGCTGGGAAGCAGCCATCATCACTGCCAGCCTAAAGCAGCAACCAGTGGAGGGCGCTACAGAGACCACACCAACACAGGACCACACGGGATCAACAATACGGACTAATGCAATTCTGAACTGTGCCTTGAGTTTGTGTTGTCATTGATGCCGTGTCTGTGAGTCCAGCACAGCCTTGCTGGGAGGCTACGATCGTATGAATGCATCTTAAATAGTTTCTAAGCTGTAATGCAGTAAAGGGACAGGCTCGCATGAGGTGTAATACTCCAATATGGGGACGTCTGCCTGTAGCGTCATTACAGGCAGAGATACCGAAGGCCCTGAGTACAGTGGGGATCAGCTAGGTCACTGGCATTATTTAAACTCTGAATGTACAAAATAAGTCTTTGCTTTATAGTGGTTTTTAAAGCTTGAGCCATCCCAGCTGGCACCAAGCCTGGTAAGACCTGGCAGGTGATGTGAGCTCAACATTCTGTTTCGCTGTCTGTATCAGTCTGGACTCTGTGCCGCCCCAGACACTTTCAGTGGGTCGGAGTGTCAACATGATGTTTTGCAGACGTTGGGTTTTGTTCTCCGTACCTTACAACTCGTTATTCTACATCAAGATGACATTTGGCACTTAACAACACAACTTTAAACCAACAAAGTATCATCTGTCATTAGTATTCTATGTCAAATTGACGTTGGCATTAGATGTTGTGACATTGAATTTTGGTTACCTGACATATCAATATTAATTCAACCAAATAACATCTAATGGCAACATTGACCAGCTGGGAATGGAGTAAAAGTCACATGATGCTTCTCAAAATCAAGGATGCTTCCTTGGTAGGACGGGCACGTCCAAGTCAGGTCCTTCACAGGCTAGGCAAGAGTCCTTCTTAGCATTCGTTGATCAAATATTGGAACAGGCTAGCGAGTGCCCAGGAGTGCGTCATTGAGGCCTTGCCTTCAATTCTGACAAATCATGCACAAAGAATTTTGGTACACGCCCGCTGAGGATGTACATATGCATCCTTGAAAGTTCTCTGAAGGAAGGACCCGGTCAAATGATCTTTGACATTGCAAGTCCTTCGGCGGGATTTGATGACGTAGCCTCCTTGAAATGCAGCTGTTTAAGGATCTTTCCTTGACTTTGAGAAGACCTCTGCTGCTTTCGTTTTTCAATACACCCCTTGCAAGTCCCCCAACTTGGAGTACTAAAGTACCAGACATTTCCTTTAAAATCTGAACCAATCAGAAAGTTGCAGGAAATATTTGAATTTTAGAAGCAGCTGAAAGTTTGTGTATGAAAGGAGTTTGAACTCCTTAAAACGTCTCAAATATTTTGTACATTCAGAAGTGAGGGGATAACTCGTCATGACTTAGTTTACCGACTTTTTTATTTGCAAAAGATTGGTGTCAGAATCTGATTATTGACAAAGCATTTTCACATTTAGGGGTTCTGAGATATGAGACTACAGATCATCTAGAAATTTGGCTATAAAGTCTATTATCTTTTTTGATTGAAGACATGTCTTTTAATTAAAACTTGTTTACTCAACTTAAACTTTAATACAATATTTCGGTAGAGTGGTCCACAGCAAGAGGGTTCTGGGTTTTACCCTGCTGGCTGGCTTTGGCCTGTTTGTGTAGAGCTGACATTCTCTGCAGGTTTCCCAGTCTAAAGACATGCAGGTTTGGTTATTTGGTGACTCGAAATTGCCCATAGGTGTGAATGTGAGCATGAATGGTCGCCACATGTCAACTGGGACATTTGCTCCAGTCCCCCTGCGACCCTGAATTGGATAAGCAGTTACAGATAATGCTCTGTATCCCCACTGTGAGCTGAGGCCAGCGTGCACGAGGGTGGATAAGGAAATTTTGTATCTTCAGCTTTAACAGACTGTAACCGACCGGGCTCGCCTGGTGTCTTTGTCGTCAAGTGTTGGATCATCACATTGTGAGTCTGTCGAACCGGCCGGTGTGTAGTTAACAGATGCTGTCGTCCGTTTTGTAGAAGCAGAGGACAAACTACGCTGTGATTTTCAGAGCATGTGGAACTGTTGTTTAGTTTCATGTGTAGGTACAGTAATGATAATTTATGGTTGTGGTGCCTGAGATAGTGACACGTTTACTTCGAGATGAAAAAAAAAAAAAAAAAAAGACGACTAGTGAAAAGACCTTAATATATTCTGCCCCCCTTGCCTTTACTCTCCCTGCACCGCTAACATGTGCAAACCAAACTATTCAACACTGGCAAGGCTGTTAAATCATGTCTGTTGATAGTAGGTGGTATATACATTACTGTTGTTATCTATGTTGAAAAGAACGGAAACTAAATATACTGTAAAGAGGATGCCTGAATGAAAAAATAATCTTACTATTGAAATGAAATGAAACAGTATTGTATGAAAAGAAGTACAATTTTTACTTATTTTTGTCATTTTAGAAATTTTATTGTCAGTCAGTTACATTTCAAATTGTATGGTAGTGATGTATCAATCTACCTTTTTCTTTTTTACTGGTACAGCAGAACACACATCTGTACACACACAAACACACACACCAACACACACACACACACACAATAACTCACCAAGCACTCATGAGACTGTACTTTTGTTTTTCTAGAACGTAGATCCTGTTTCACACACACTCACACACACAATCAGTACTCGGACCATACTGTGTTATTGGTACCCTGTATGTCTCATGCGTTACTTTCACGTATGAATAATATGGATTTTGTCGAATCTATTAAAAACAGAACTGTTACAGAACATCGTTTGCTTTTCTTGAACTCAGTGGGTTATAATGTGAAGGATCCAGTGTTGAGGAGGGACAGCAGTAACTACTGTGTTGATTCTGAACAGATTCTCACACTGACTAATTATCGGTTCATTATTAACAGACATAATTCGGAGGACGAGGACAAACCTACCATAAAACACCAAGTAGAGCAAAGACAATCAAAAAGCTAAAAAAGAAAAGAACACGTTTGTTCCTAAAAAGTGGACTCACATTGAAACACAGCTAAAAAGTTTAAAAGGAGTAAAAAAAATTATACAGAAACAGTCTAAGAAAAAAATAAACATCTAGAAGTTTCTTTCTGACACAGTGATTGTTCCAACTGAGAGAAGTCCCGTCTGAAGGATCTACAGGTGGATTTTACAGCTGGTTGAGGACGTCACCTGGAAGGGAAACACATACAGTTATTCACCTGTAGACCGCCAGCACACATTCACTGTTAACAGGTTTTTACTCTCACTATCTGACTAGTTTTAAAGGGACAGTCCGACCCAAAAATCAAAACTACATATTTTTTCTCTTACTCCTTGTGCTATTTATCAATCTAGAAAGTTTTGGTGTGAGTTGCAGAGTGTTGGAGATATCAGGTATAGAGATATCTGCCTTATCTCGAATATAATGGAACTAGATGGCACTTGGCTTGTGGTGCTCAAAGCGCCAAAAAAATAAATTTGAAAAACTCAACAGCAATGTCTCTTCGCAGAAATCATGACCTGGTTACTCAAGATAATCCACAGACCTTGTTGTGAGCAGTTTCATGTAGGAACTATTTCCTTTCTACTGAACTACACCCACCAACCGAATCGCCCTGCAGAAGGAAGCATGCATCTACTGCTAGTTCAACTAGCACTAATGAGCTAGCTAACGGTACAGCTCAGCCAAGTAGGACACTGTTAATCTTCACATCTCATGCTGTCACAAGCAGAAGCCTCTCGTCCATGAGTAGATGCACGCTTCATCTGTATCCAACATCAAATGTAGCATGACAGAAAACTTAGCTTATGGCGTGTTCACACCAAACACAAAGCAAATTTTCGCATCATGTTGCTTGTGTGGATGCTAAGGGTTTTTTGTGGAGTATTTAGCAACTGGCAAATATTCCCCCTTGACAGCTGTGCTAACGGTCGTGCTAGCTAACTGACTGGGGAAAGGCAGCTAACAGCTAACCTGGTGTGGAGCGAGGTACAACCGATGATGGAAACATGATGAACATGGAAACTGCTCCCCTCTGGAATATTTCGGTCTGGAATTTGCCTCAAACACGTTCAAAAACTTGAACTTTTGCCGTGGATTTCGGGGAGACCGTATGACAGTGCACTAGCTTAGCTAACAGGCTGCTAACTAGCTAACAGTTAGCATATTACGGAGGGGAGGAGTTTCGCAGGCACATCAGATATCACAGAGATTCCCATAGGAATGAATGGACTTCAGGTTGACTTGTCTCCGTACACGTCAGTGGAAACTAGGCGTGAGTAGTAGAGCTCTGGGTGCGCACAGACAGAGACAATAAGTTCGTCCTCCATTCCTGATTCTTGGTAACGTCAGAAGAATCTAGGCTGGGTCTCAACACGGACAGACTTTCGTGACACAGTGTTGCGTGAATTTCTCACTCAAGTTAAAATTTTTTAATGTGTCGTGTCATTCACATCGCATAATTCATGTTACCCAGCGCTAATTCACATCTATGTGCATATTTGCATTGACTTTGTATCTAACCCCACTTGTGAAACACTCTGCGTACAGTGTGAACACATATTTAGAGATGTTACTTACTCTCTGCACAGGGGGAGGTGTACTCAGTGACCGCCTCATCACCTGAAAACATCAACAACACATCAGATACACAGCACTGTGACAGTGAGGACACACTGTCTCTCCCAAAAGCCTTTTGCATTTACTGATATCAAAGAAAACTGAACATCATAAAACATAAAAGAATGAGACTCTTACTCGTCTGGTAGTAATCGTAGATTTTGACCACAGCTGGTTTCAGGTTCCTGACAGGAACGTCCTCCTCTAGTGTCACACTGTATATCTTTGTCTCATCCTTCTTCAACTGCAACGGAAACAAACAGGGACGCTAATTAAAATTCTCTCCAACCTCACAGTTTACTTTACTCATCATAAACTCAGCACACAGCAGATAATGGCTGTACTGGTGTTTATGAAAATAAAGACATTTCTTTCAACATTCAAAGACACAGAGTCAATCTGTCAGTGCTTCTTACCCCATCTAAGTAGATGTTGATGTATCCTTCCTCCACGTCCACACGCTTCACTGAACGGTCGCTCTTCAGCTACCAAAGCACAGAACACAGACCACCATCAGTACACACCAACATAAAGAGTATGCTGCAGTATATAAGAGAACACATCAGCTGCAGCAGTACAATCTGGTAATATTAACATTTCAACAATTAACAATTTAACATTTCTCCAGCCTGACAGACACAATGACTGTTTACAATCACTGGACAGACTGAAGAATTGCACTAAAAAACAGCATTTACAACAGCGATGAGATTTTGTTTTCTTTTTACGTTTAACACATTAAACTTAAACTCACCCAATTTTTGTCATGTTTTCTTGCTGTTCAATTTGAACTGACAGGTTTGGTCTTGAATTTCATATAAGGTGGTATTAAAAGGTCTTAAAAAGTCTTAAATTTAACTCGGTTATATCTGTGGACACCCTGACTGAGCGCGGGAACAAATATTCTCCAGATACACTACAAGTGACAACAACATTCAGCGAACCCGTTGAGCCGGAGGAACGGCTCGTGTTGTTGCACTGGAAATGAACTGGAGGAGCACAAAGCTTTTGCAAAAATAGAGCCAGAGTGAGCAGATTATCAAAAGCCACACATTGTGTATCCTGTTTGTTGGTGACCTCCGGTAGATTGGGAGATCTTCACTAGCAAAAACTGAAACTTTCTGATGGTTGCATCACGTCCAGTTAGGAGGAGGGTAGTCTGTATATACAGACTCTACATTCAGTGAATGTAGAGTCTGTAGGCAAACCCCGGAGATCTTGCCTCTGGAAGAAGAGCGGAAGAGCCCTGGTTTCCGGGTGTAGGCTGTTTGTAGTCCGCATGATATTGACCAATCACGTTTGAGCCGGCTGCAGTTGTTGCCAGGTTAAACGGTCCGTGCGGTGAACTAACGAGGCGGAACATAATTGGCGTCACTGCAAACTCTGAATCCATCACAATGGTTCAGCATATTTACTTATAAATAAACGGAAGTCGGAAACGGAAATTCGCCTCCTCAAACCGGAATGCCAAAAAATCGGGGGTCTGCCCCCAGAGGCTGTATTCGGCGTCTGCCGGAAGTCAGACGGCGAATACAGCCGATGGGTTCCGAGAATGGGAAGAGGGTTATCAGTAAGAAGCTGTGGAGGAACTGACCAGCTTCAGGGAGCTCTTATCCAGAATGTATCCAGACAGCAGCTTGATGTTGATGATGACCATGTTTGTTTCCTCTCTCCTGCCCTGGTACCTTCAAACACACACACACACACACACACACACACACACACACACACAGAAAGTTAAACACCTGGCAATAGTGATGCTCACAAACTGCGGTCTCACTTCATCTGATGTGATCAGTTTTTGTCTTTGCAATTCATGGTGCAGACTTTTATACTTCCATAAATTTAAGATGTTAAAAGTTTGTACTAACGAGTTGCAGTTAGTGCAACAACAACACCAACAAAGGTAAGTTTGCTGGCTGATTTGTGTTAAGGTCATCTCAAAGGTCAAAGCCATTATTTAAGCCCAACAGCTAAACTACTTTATGTTCTGTGTTATATTATGGTGCTGTTTGCTGACGCACTAAAGAAGAGAAGAATATACATCGTCATCACACACACACACACACACACACACACCTACCTGACATGCACGAAGAGGATGAGCTGAGGCCTGCTGGTGTTGCATTTGGCCATGGTGTTGGTGGAGATGTTGAAGGCAGAGAAGTCGGGGGGAGGGGGGACGTTGTAATGCATGGAGATCTGTGGATAGACAGATCATCACAAACATCAGTTTACAATGGAAAAATAAGCTGTTGTAAGCTTTTCAATTAAAGCTGTAAAAATTTAAATTTAGAGATGAATATATGAAAAATACTGCCTGTATATTTTACTGCTCTGATTGTTTTTCCTGTAACGTTGTTTATTAATATCAGCCTTCTGATGAATCGGCTGGACTTAAAATGACCTGAAACATGTTGTCACTATTTATAATTATGTGTGTTTTTAACTGGTGTGTTACAGATTTTATTTACTTATTTCATTTTCATATTTTAATTCATAGTAGTCCAGTCATTTTTCTTTGCCTCCAAGTTCTTCTCCTATTGTCTTTCGCCACTGACGTCAGTCCCATGTTGCTGCTTCACGTTTTGGTGTTGACCTCGTCCTCGCTCAGCTCATACCTGTGCCAGCACGCAGCTCTGTCCCTGGGCTTTGATCATGTACTCTCCAGGGACCTCGCTCAGCTTCTCCTCCTGGTACAGCAGCCTGTTGCGCTGATCCACCGTGAACTCTTTGTTCAGGCCTCCTAACGACGTCACCGTCACTGTAGTGCTGCCCTCCGCGCTGTAGGTGGCAGCGCCGTACTTAGCCAGAGCCTGGAGGGCCACCACAGTGTCCTGAGGAGCAGAGAGGTTGAATGCGTCATTAAAAAACAATTAGGAGGTTAAAGGTTTCAGTTAAACCTGCTGTGTGTGAGATGTGTCCCACCTGTGTGGAAGAGAAGCCCCCATATGGGTTTTGTTGCTGGGCGAGCCAGCGGACGATGCCGGAGGAGTAATCCAGACCAAACTCTGGTATGGCCGGACCAGAGAGCAGAGCCAGCAGCACGTAGGAGGTCATCTCCACCTCCAAAGAGTCCAGGCCTTTCCCAGATGCCCCTGCTCTCTCCCAGTGACGGGTGCCTCCTGCCAGTCACAATAACAGAGTCATCCATTAGGAC